TTGTTGAAGTATCATTGTTAGATCAATGAGAATGGATTTCTTTCTAATTTTTTTTCTTTTCCATTTTTAGTATGACAAGATTCAAAGCTATTTTATTTGAAGAATAGTATTTTTTATTTTAGTACAATTGGTGCAAAAAAATCTAAGAATAAGAGGTAGAAAAACTCAAATTAAATGCATTTTATTTTTCAGAATGCACTAAATGTTAGTTAGTTTATCCATAATCGAATGCATGCATTAAAGCTTTCAAAAAAACCCACTCATTGTCTTGGATTAACTTTTACGTATATTATAATATATGATATGCTTTTTGGTTTTATCAACCTAAATTATGGGAAAATGTTTACAATGTTCCACTTGTGTATTCAAGATGTTTTTAGATTTGATCCTTGTCCTATTGAACTTACATTTTCCTATGCATATTTTTTTTTGTCTTTTAATTTTAATTGAATGATTCAAGTTTTAATTAATTCAATGCTTAATAGTTTTTAAAAATTTTAAATCATTAGAATTTTGAATTAAATATTTTTTAAGATTAAAATTTTAAAATTTTAAAAAATTGATATTATCCCATTAACTTCTAATTAAAAATATAATAATAAAGATTTTTTAACTCAAAAAATGTAGCAATAGTCTATTTTGTTAAAGCTAACTTGGTCCTTTATTAAGCAAATCAAAACTTCAACTATTTCTATTTTTCTATTTCTATTCCTTTTTGCTTGGCTATATAAATATTTATTTCTATTGCTATTTTCTAAGTAATTTCCATTTCTATGTTTATAGTAATGCAATAGTACAAAGTAGTAATATTAATTAAAGTTTTATAATAATGTAGTAGTGTAAAAGCAGTAGTAATAGTCTATCTCGTTAAAGCTAAATTTAACTAGAATCATCTTTCAACATTCTACTAGATAAGGATCTTATTATGGTATTGCACGAAATTTTCATGTTTCTAGCATCATGTTGAGGCACATGGTGTTGGAAAATGGATACTATAACATGTACATCGCTCACATATTTTTCCCATAGCCTTTTTGCCTTTTTGTCTTCTATATATCTATTAATGTACATCACTCACATGTTTCTAGCAACTTGTTTGGATACACGGTTTCAACATGTTTTGATTTGTCTTTTTTTTTTTTTTATGATAGATACTATAGTATATACATCACTCACATGGTATTATTGTTTGATCCTAAAATTGAATTATTGTTTTGATTTGGCTTTTTTTTGTGATAAAGATAACTAAACATGTCATCAACCACACCAGATATCTCTTTTACACCATTTCAACCGACAACAAATTCATTTGCTAGCTAGATTGTGTTGGATGATGATAATGGTTCAATGAATGAAACTTTAGATGTCATTGATGGTAACACAAATAAAACATTAGTCACCGATACCAATGATAGAGAATGTGATGATACTGTGCGATGAAAGTAATGAGAAAAAGAGGTAAAAGACATTTACTGTTTGGTTGGAGTTTAAAAATATTAGTCTTTCTGATAGTTCCAAAAAAAGAGAGTGTATCCATTACAAGAAGAAGCTAGCATAAATGCAAGTAAAAGCATAACTCAATTTAAGAGGCACTTGATAACTTTTGTTAAGTGAAAAATTTTTTAGAATCAACAGCAAAAGATCAACTTCTAGCTAGTAAACACATGTAGTGATGTATAGATACTATTTACTTTCACTTATGGCAAGGTTGACATGGCAAAGATGAAAAAGACAGTTACACATTGGATACTTATACATGGGTATGTTTTTTCGATTATGAAAAAAAAAGTTTTATCATGATGCAAAAACGTGAGATGCATGAATAAGAAAAGATATCACGCAATACTATTAAGAATGATTGAATACAAGTGTATTAAAGTAGAAAAAAAAAATTAAAGGCAGTGTTGAATACTACCAGCAAGATTAGTTTAACAATAGATTTGTAGAAGTTAAGTAATCAAAAGATTGCATGTGTGATTTTTACAACGTACTTTATAAATTCTAATTAGAGATTACAAAAGTGCGTTATCAACTTTGTTCACATACTTTCTCTTTGTCGCAGTGTTGAGATTGCCAATTGTATTCTTAAATATCTAAACTACCAGCAAGATTAGTTTAACAATAGATTTGTAGAAGTTAAGTAATCAAAAGATTGCATGTGTGATTTTTACAACGTACTTTATAAATTCTAATTAGAGATTACAAAAGTGCGTTATCAACTTTGTTCACATACTTTCTCTTTGTCGCAGTGTTGAGATTGCCAATTGTATTCTTAAATATCTAAAGGAATAGAAAATTAAAAATAAGATGTTTACACTCTCTGTGGACAATGCTTCAAGTAATGATGCAACGATTAAAGACACATTTTCAAGAATTAGGAGGTTACTTTATGGAGAAATTTTTTTTCATGTTTGGTGTTGTCCACACATATTAAATCTTATGGTTTAAGATGGTTTTTCTAAAATTAAGAATGTGATTGATGATGTTCATGAAAGTGTTAGTTTTATTAATCAAAATTAGGCAAGACTTAACTCATTTTTTAACATAATACAATAGCTACAATTGCCTGATAGGAAACTCATTCTCGATTGTAAAACACATTGGAATTCAACATTTGAGATGTTGTCAACTATAATTAAATTCAGAGAAGTGTTTCCAAGACTTAAAGAATAAAAATATCATTACAAATGTTGTCAAAGTCATAAAGATTAGGAAAAGGTGAAGAAAGTTTGTGAGATTTTAGAAAATTTTAATTCAACCATTAAAATCATCTTTGGAAGTGATTATCCAACTTCAAACCTATTTTTGAATGAAGATTATCATGTGAAAATGTTGTTGGATAAAAGGATATATGATGAAAATGAATTTTTTTAAGTAATGGTACACAAGATGAAGACTAAACTCGATAAGTATTAGAGAGAATGTAATTTGTTAATAGCTATAGTAGCTATATTGGATCCAAGATGCAAAAAAAGGTTGGTTGAGTTTTGTTTTCCTCTAATGTATCCTGATAGAGAAGCAAAAAAAAATATTGCTAGAGTTCGAGATGTTTTTTATAAGATTTATGAGGAATATGTTTGTGAGTATCAATTTGACAGTGAGCATAACACTGAAACTTAAGTGCATGATAATGATATTAATAGTACGAATATAGAAGCTTTTTTTTCTGGTTTGTCTAAATTTGCAAATTATGTAAAATCAAGTGAAACTACTTAACCACAACAATCTAATATAAAAAATTGTCTACCTAGTTGAGGGTTGCTTTATTTATCAAGGAGATTCCACTAAGTTTGATACTTTGGAATGATGAAAAGTGAGCACCTGAAAACACCGTATTTTATCCAAGATGGCTTGTGATTTACTTGCTATTCCTATCACTACAATGGCTTCAGAGGTTACATTTAGTGCGAAAGATAGAATTATTGATACTTATCATGCCTCTTTAGCTCTTTAGACAGTGCAAGTATTATTTTGTAGAGTAGATTGGTGTCAGAATCTTCATGGAGTGAAAAAAAAGAAAAAAAAATGATTTTTTATTATTTTATTATTTCATGGCTATCATAGTTTTAATTTAATTTTTAACTATTATTTTTCTTAACTTTGTCTATATAGAAAGATAAGAAACTAATTGAGATTGCATTCAGAATCCTTAAAGTGAGGATATCTAATGTCTTCTATACAGGTATGAATATTATTATTAAATATCTTTAATTTGTCACAACATCACTAAAGAAAAGTAGGTGGTAGCTAGTTTAACTTGAGTTTTTTGCATTATAGTTTATAAACCATAGGTTAACCAATGACAAAAATTTATATTATGGCAATTAACAAAATATTGTCAATATTTTTTGCTTTTATTATAAGGCAATTAATAAAAAATAGTCCATATTTATACTAATGTTAAAAATTTAAAGTAATTGATCATTGTAATAATATCACAATATTTTTTTTATACAGGTGTTTCTACCATATATAAGCAGTCTCTAATTCTATAAAAGTTACTTTTACTATTATGCTTCTTATTAATTGTAATTTGTTTGTTTTGTAAATATTTTTTTTGTGTAGGTTTGTTGGAAAAAAATGGGCCAAAAGATCATTTGAAAACATAATAGTGTGAAGGCATCATGATAAGTATATATATTGTTGTTGACTTGTTATAACTTGTATGTGGACTTATTTGCTTGAATATTTAATTTCTTTCAATTAAGATTTTAATTTTTAAGTTTCATTATGTCTTTTATTTGTATGTTGTATTTGAATCATTTCATGAGACTTTTATTTATTTGGATTTGGTTGTTATATAAGTTATTATTATTATTGTTGTTATTATCTTGAAATTTTAATATTTATTAGATTTGATAAAAAATAGTTGTAAAAAATCTCAAATTCAAGCACAAGTACAAATACTTGAGCTCGAGCTCAAATATAAAAATCAAATTTATTTTTACATATTAATCGAGTCTAATTGAGCAAACTTAAGTGACTTGATTTTTATATTGAGTTGAGATCGAACTAAAAAAAATAAAATTTAATTGAATTTAAATCGAGTTTTGAATTTCAAATTTAAAATCAAACTTTAATTTGATATTATATCTATTTAAACTCAATCGATTACATTTTTAATTATGACTACAAACCTTGCTTAGCCCCCAAAACATATGTTATTCTCTAGAATATTTCATTTATAATTAATTAAAAATTTAAACTAACCCTAAAAATAAAATAAAATGATTCAATTAATCTTAAAATCATAATTGAAAACTCAAAATTAACCTAATTTATAGAACTCCATATTCTAATTAACCTTTAAATCATTATATATACCCAAAGTTAGTTGTCTCTCAAATTGAGTCCATCAATTGGAAACAGTTTTAACATATTGTTATTAATTGATATTTTGGTATTTGAGATCAATAATTTAATATCGAACTAGTGAAAAAATTAAGAAATAATCCCAAAAAAGTTATTGAAAATCTTTACGATTATAAAAAAGGGGTAATTATATAAATAACCATTCACGAATCGTACACTTGGGACCGTACCGGTCCACCCCGCAGGAAATCGCGCCAAATCCCAGAAAGATGGCGTAAAATTGCTGCTCAAAAACTGAATGCAAAGTCGCACCATCCACCCCATCGTCAATTCCGATTCAAGAACCCAAATTGAAACCTTAGATTAGTAATTACAATCAAATTCGTTCCCATCGTTTAAAAAATTTGCTCTATTTCTTGATTCCGAAATAGGGAATTAGGTTTGTTGAAACCCTAGACGTTACATTTCTCACGTAGCTAAAAATTAAGGAAATCCTAGCTCGAATTACCCTAATTTTGAATTCCTACTGCGGTTGGGTTCCCCCCCCCCCCCCCAAAAAAAAAAAAAAAGCTTCCATGGCGATCATAGGCGACGCGCTACGGCAAGCTTTTATGCCGAAGCACGAGTACGAGAGTCTACGGGAGGAGGACAAAGCTTGGACGAGGCTACAAAGACCGATCTTTATAGGTTCCACAGGGGTCATTTGTCTCGCAATCTTTGTTTGCACGATTATAAGCTTGAAGATTGTGTTTCCGAGAGATGTTTTGAAGCGACCGTTTTGCGAGGACCGGAGACTGCAGCCTTTGCCGTTGGATGTGAAAGGAGGAGACGGTGGCGATTCAGATCTGTTGCCCGGAGCGTTTTATTTGACTGATCAAGAAACTGTGGATTACTATTGGATGGTCGTGTTTATTCCATCTATGATCATTTTCTTCGCTTCGGCTGCGTATCTTGTGGCAGGTCAGTAGACGTTCTATTATTTAAGCTTTGTTTCCCTTAAGAAAAAATATTTAGTGAGTATGAAATTTCTTTCGTGAGGTTATTTAGAAAATTGCAAAGCATTTTGAATAGATGAAGATTGGTTTTGAACCTTGAATTGGAGAGGCTATAAAGTTCTGTCTTTGTTATTATTCAGTATCGGACGGTTGTAACTGGTTGGAGATGGCTAGGAAATTTAAAGATGTCTTGCCTGTAGTTACACATTGTGAAAGGGAATATAAATGTAATGTAATTCTTACACGATGGCAAGATAATTGAGCTTCTTATTTGACCTGCTCAATGGCATAGGTGGATCTTAATGGTTGTCTGGTTTAGATTCATGAAATGAATTTATCCTTGAATGGTCTCTACTCTCTCCTTGGTGTAAGTTAGGTTCCAGGTGGAAAATGGTTTGATTTACGTAATCTCTGCCGATTTGGCTAGCTTCTCGAATTAGTCTTTGCTTCTATGGTATATGCTTGGAATGAATCACGCATAACCTGTGTATGGTATATTGAATTTATTTTGGTATTGCGGGGTTAAAACTAGCCTAAGAATGTTGGCACTTGAATTTAGAATTTTGTTTGGTTGTGTGTTATTTAGATGATTTTACATTTTCTTATTGATGGCTATTGATTCTTTTTGCTTAAAGTTATGTGCTGGTTTCTCTAGTGCTTAAATTTTGTGAGAATTGCTTTGGTGATGTTGGGTCTTTGAATTTTCTTGTTTATATTTTTAATTCCTTGTCATTTTTTCTTTTAGTTTATGTAATTATCCTGGCTGGTTTGTCTGCTATCTTGATAGCACTATGCTCTCTGTTTTTTTAGTATCTAATGGTTTTTTCATGATTCAGGAATTACTGTTGCTTATTCTGCTCCAACTAGGCATGGATGTTTAAAGGTGGTTGAGAATAATTACTGTGCTTCAAAAAGAGGTATGCTCGATTTCTCATTTCTTTGACTTGATCTCTTATTGATGTTGGAGCTTTTGGTCCCTTAAAGTTTTGTTATAATTCCTTAGAAGTTGTTTGTCACTGCCCACGTTTTGAATATTTATAAAAGTAATTGCTAATTGAAGTCTAAGTTGCGATGCAAATGGTGCTACTTGTTGAAATCTGTTGTATTGCTGAATAGAGATGGGAAGTCAGAATTTGAATTTGCTCTTGCTGCTACATCAAAGTAAATCACTGGCATCTTCTTTGTCTTGCTCACTTCTGAAAGTTGATGTAAATTAAATTATTGAGATTTGGCTTTATAAAGCTTTGAACTCAATTAGCAGCCTGAATAGATATTCTCATTCATTTGCTAGGCTTTCTTTGTGGTCACCAAAACCGTTACTATTTTCATGCTGTTGTATCTCTGTCCCTATTTTGCTGTTTTTCATGTATACACATGTTAATCTCATGGATTAGAATGGATGTTGAGTTAGCATATTAACTTTATTGCAATTTGCAGGTGGAGTTCGCTGCCTGTCCATTTTGAATGTGGTTTTTGCCATCATCTTCAGTCTTCTTGCTTTATTCTTGGGTTCAAGCCTCCTCGCATTAGGGAGTAGCTGCTCATTGCCCTTGTTTTGGTGCTATGAGATTGCTTCATGGGGACTGGTGATTCTATATGCAGGAACCGCTATCTTCTTAAGAAGGAGAGCAGCTGTAATTCTTGATGAAGGAGAGTTTGGTAGTAGAAACCTTGGTTTAGAAATGTTGGAGGCTAACCCCTTGCAAGTCACCCCAGATGTGGAAAGGCGTGTTAATGAAGGTTTCAAAGCATGGATGGGATCATCCCTCCTATCATCTGACGAAGAAGATGAACCTGAAAGTTACCATGAAGTGCCCCATATAACACGTACTGCTTCTAATAGGCAGAGAGTGTGATCTGATGCCAAGTCATCAGTCTTACTGACTTTTTGGGGGAATTTTCACTGCTTTGCTGCCAGCAGGAAGATGGATTCAATTTTGGAGTACGGAGACAGTTGTTCAACCAGTAGCTCATGAGCAAATGAGTTTTAATTGTAGCGAGAATCATGATGTCCGGTTGACCTTGCTGCCCCATTGCTTCTCTTCTCATAGGTGACCTTCGTAGGTTGTGAATAGTTAAGCACAGTAACTCATTGTCGTTTTGTGTTTTGAGCCCCAGTGATGAAAGAGCAATAAGCATTTTAACTACATTTTCTTGTAGAGCTTGTGTATTTGCCAACCGGGGTATTAGAACTTCAAAAGTTCAGTATTGGCAGAAACCGTGAAAAGTTGTTCAGATGATTGTGCCTCCAACATGTTTGGTTGGTGTGAATATCAGTTAATTTTATTGCGCAGTTCTTGTCATTTAGCAATTCTGACCGGGTGCAGCTGATGTTTATGCTTAGAAAACAAAAATAAAATCATAAAAAAAAAAAATGTAGAATTTGCATTTAGTTTCTCTATTGTATCTTGGCTATATAAACTTGATTAGACAAAACTGGCTTATTGCAAACTTGCAACAAAAGCCCAAAATGTAGAGCGGGAATTAGCTATTAATTGAGCCCAGCTGTCACGCTTATTGGATTCGAATGAGATTGGGCTTCTGTATTAAACAAATTGAAAGCCCCAAGTCCTGAAATGTTCTGTCCTCACAAACCCTAATCTCTCTCTCTCTCTACTATCGTTCACAGTCGACGGACCATACTCCAAATCTCTTCGTTGGGTTACTCATCAACATCTTCTTATCAGATTACTGTCTGTCTTCAACGATGGCAAGCAACTACGAGTACGAGGAGGCCTCAGCCACCTATGACGACGCCCACCGTCAAGACCTCGGCTACGACCCGAACTTCGTCCCCGACTCCGTTAAGTCGTTCGTCGTCCACCTATACCGTCACATTCGCGAGAAAAATGTTTACGAGATTCACCAGATGTATGAGTTCTCTTTCCAAACCCTCTCGGACCGTTTATTCAAAGAAGCTCCTTGGCCCTCCGTCGACGCCGTCGCTCATTACGTCGACAACGACCAAGTATTTTGCCTCCTTTACCGTGAGATGTGGTTTCGCCATCTGTATGCTCGCCTTTCGCCCACTCTCAAGCAGAGGATCGATTCTTGGGATAATTATTGTAGCCTCTTTCAGGTAAATTATTTTTAATTTGTATCAATATCTATGATTCTGTGGCGCGGATTAATTTGATTGGGCTTTGATTTTTTTTCAGGTGGTGTTGCATAGGGCGGTTAACATGCAGTTACCCAATCAATGGTTATGGGACATGGTGGATGAATTCGTGTACCAATTCCAGAGTTTCTGTCAATACAGGGCTAAAATGAAGAACAAAACTGAGCAAGAAATCGCTCTTCTCCGCCAATATGATCAGGTAATTCAATTCCCAGTGATTCGCTATTAGTTATTGAACGCAAAATTTAATTTGAATAGTAGTTATTGCTATTGCTTTTGTTATTGTTGTTGGGATTTGAAGTTAACTTTTTCTCTTATAGGCATGGAATGTTTATGGGGTGCTTAACTACTTGCAAGCGTTTGTGGAGAAATCGAATATTATTCAGATATTGGAGCAGGAGAAGGAGGGTCTTGAACAATTTACTGCTAATGATGGGTATGATTACAGTGGTGGAAGCAATGTCTTGAAAGTGCTGGGATACTTCAGCATGGTGGGTTTGTTGCGAGTTCATTGTCTTTTGGGTGATTATCAAACCGGGCTGAAGTGCTTGCTTCCTATTGACATTAGTCAACAAGGTGTTTACACCAGTGTTATAGGAAGCCATATTACAACCATATATCATTATGGTTTTGCCAATCTTATGTTGAGGAGGTATGTTTTTGTTTTGCTATGTTTACCGTGTAATGAGTTCTTAATGTGTGAATTTTTTTTTCTACCTTTACTAAAGTTCTATTCAATTTCGATTCTTGCATCTTTTTTACCCAAGCTTGATTATTAGAGTTGTTCTTTTTATTAAAGGTATGTGGAGGCTATTCGTGAATTCAATAAGATGCTCTTGTATATTTACAAGACAAAGCAATATCATCAGAAATCTCCACAGTATGAACAAATATTGAAAAAGAATGAACAGATGTATGCCTTGCTGGCTATTTGTCTTTCACTTTGTCCCCAAGTGAAACTTGTCGAGGACACTGTTAACTCTCAGTTGCGGGAGAAGTATGGTGAAAAGATGGCTAGGATGCAAAGATATGATGATGAAGCTTTTGGCCTCTATGATGAGCTCTTCTCATATGCATGTCCCAAGTTCATTACACCTTCAGCTCCAAGCTTTGAGGAGCCCCTTGTAAATTACAACCAGGTAAATGATTTTATTTTTTCTAGGCTATCTTGAGAATGTGGAAGTACATTAAATAAATAATTTATGCTTGTTCCTTTCATTATTTACATCCACTGCCCTTTAGTTATTCAGCATACGTGTTTATGTTACATAAACTTGCTGTAGTTAGGCTCTTTTATATTTACTTTATTGCTAATAGTTGCCCTTAAAAAATCAATTATCAGGCCACAGGTTGTGTATTAATTCTTTGAACTGAGAGGTTGTACACCCCAGAAAATATCTGCAATTTTATTTTGTTAGATTCACAAGTAATGTGGATGTAGAGCTTAGGCACATTTAATGTTGGTTCATTATATGTTAGTAGACGGTTAATTTTCCACGATCTCTGTCTGTTCCAGTAATTGTTGTACCTTATGTGGATGGAGCTCTGGCCCCTAGACAATGCTTATTTTATGCAGTCATAGGTTGAGAGAGATAGTTTTGATCTTAATGTTGTCGAGGAAGGGAGTGAAAAGGTCATTTGGCATGTTCTTTAAGCTTGGTCTTCTTTTTGTTTGTTATGTGTGTATTACCTGCTCCATTTATTTATCTCACAGGATGCCTACAGACTTCAGTTGAAGCTATTTCTGTATGAAGTGAAGCAGCAGCAGTTGTTGTCAGGTGTCCGGACATTTCTTAAAGTGTATTCAACTATATCTCTTGGGAAGCTCGCAAATTACATGGAAGTGGATGAGCCCACTCTGAGGTGGACATTGCTTTTTTCTTCCTCTTGATCCTTTGTATTTGATTTAAATGTATGCTTAATTTATTTTACATGATGTACTGACCCTGTGTCATGTTTTATAGGACAATCTTGTTAACGTACAAGCACAAAACTCATGCTGTTGATTCTGATGGAAAGATTATCTCTAACGCTGATGTGGACTTCTACATTGATGATGTACGTTAAATTTTTAGCTTATGCAAGTATCTTTGTGCTGCTGAGAAAATGTGCTTTAAGTCACCATGCCTTGTTTAGAGTTTCTTTTAGTTGCAGAAACAGATAGCACACACGAGCAAGTTTTTGGTGATATGCTCTCTCAGAAAATGATAACTGGATTAATCTCAGGCTAGCTAATGTACATAAAAATTTAAAGTTATATCAAGAGATGGTTTTTGATGTATTATATTAGGCTTTGAGGCCATGTTTGATGCATAGAATGATGGATAGGATTGGGATGATAATCTTATACCATGTTTGGTTTGTATCTAAAGAGAGGGATAGGATTGCAAGGACATCCTCTTGGCATAAGGTGATTCAATCCTCAACAAAATAGAGAGGATTGTTTTTAATCCATAGGATTGAACTTACATGTCCTATTATACCCATAAAAATTGCATCAATAATTTAAATTGTATAAACTTTGAGGAAGAATAGTTTGACCGATAAATAAAATTACTCTATTTTAATCCTTGCACACATCAAACACTAGAAGGATAACATTATTTAATCTAATTCTATTCATAATATCATCTTACCTTATTTATAATCTTGTGCACCAAATATGCCATGAATTCTTTGGTCTTTGGAGATTAGTTTGAATATTCTTCAACATTGCAAGTCACACTCTGCTTTGCTGCAGGACATGATTCATGTTGTTGAATGCAAGCCAGTGAAAAGATATAGTGATTACTTCCTGCGACAGATTGTCAAGGTATGTTATATTTTCTTCTTAATGCTTGCATGACCAATCACATGGGGATGGAATGGATATTCACTTACTATGGTAAACTTTTTTGACCTTTTGTTACAGCTTGAAGGAGTGATAAATGATATGGATCGGATAAAGCTGGACTAGAGTGCCTGCTTATCTTGCATTGAGTTGACAGACTAATTGGCAGAGAATTTTATATTATTTATATGGCATTTTGATGCCTTTTTTTTTTTTTTTTGAATTAGCGGAATGTTGTTAGCTTCAGATCTCATGTTCTACTTCACCTGCTGTGGGGCGTATTCAAGTTACCATATAAATGGTTCCTTTATGGTAAACACTGTTAGAGCGTCAAAGGGTTTTATCCTCTTATGCATGCTGGAATGCCATTAATTTTTGTTGTGTGTGATACTGTAGTATTCTACCCAGGAAATCAATCAATGGAACATTCAAGTTCAACCATGCAAAACGAATGGCAGTTTGTGATTTACACTTCTTACTAGTTTCGTAGAAAGTAGACGTTTAAAATGGGTTATAGTTTATTTGGAAAACATTCAGAATTCCAATTTGGATTAGGGGATTAGTGGCCCTGCCTATTTCTAAAGCCAGTTTCAGCAAAAGCAACTTCAAAATTCTTGAATATGTACGAAGGAATTCAAATTGGTCTTTCACCTTTTCCTTAATTGTTACTTTTTCGAAAGGTCTTATCATTCATGCCTAAAATTATATACGGTTAGTGTAAAATATTGTTATAAAAAATTAATTTTTTAAAATTCTTAAATTAAATATTTTAGGAGTTGTTATCGTGTGATGTATTTTACAGCAATTATATAATGATAGATAATGTATTGCATATAAATTTATACGATAAATGTCAAAAATTTTTTAAACCTTGTGCTGACTTAACGTTAAAAGAAGAATCAACTGAAATCTTGATCTTTTATCTGATTGTAAACTGGCCGTGGTCGACGGTGGTGAAAAGATTGGTCTTAATGAAGATAAAAAATATTAGGTCTGCTTGATAAACAAAAAAAAAATCTAAATTTTGCATTGAATTTGATAAACATCCGAAATGACATGTGTCAGTTCAGAAATTACAGTAGATGGGATTTTCGTTTTAATCTTTTATCTGACTAACCAGTTTTGGTTAAGGGTGACCCCATGTACAAAATGGAAAAGGTTAAGCGTGACCCACTTGAAATTTCAAAGTAAGAAGCACATAAAGACAAGACTCGTTGCGACAGCTTATCTTCACCACTGATTCATGGAGTATCTAAAGCCTAGGGAGGCGACCAGAAACGACGCAGATGGCGATTCTCTGTTTCATAACGTTCCTCGAGCTCCTGATATTCCAGTCTACGCGGTACTTTCTTTTTATGCTTTCCCAAGTAAAATTCTACCAAATTCTTACTACTTGTTTTAGTCTATGGATTGTGAAGCCAATACTCTGCTGTTCTGTGTTCAATGTCAAAAGTTTGAGTTCATTCACTGCCTTTTAGTACTTTGCCCTGACAGCAAGTACTTGATTAGGAACTGAAAAGTGCAACCTGATTAAATAAAGATCGTTTCAATACTTCAACTGGGTTTTGATTGTTGTGCTCCAAAATTGTCCTTAATCTGTCTTCGTTTATCTACTTCGATTATTTTATATCAAAATTGGTTCTTAAGTGTGGCCATGTTCCATTTGAAAGGTCGAAACCTGTCTCTTTAGGCTTGAAACTGTCATAGACCCTGATTGTGATCTGGTATAGAAAATGTCATGATAGGGGTTAAAAAACAAGTCAAGTGGATGTGAAAATTTTGAAATAAATGAGCCATAATTTTAGATTGGTTTTACTAAAATGATGGGAAGCCAAGTGCTCTAGCATTTCTGTGCATTGTCCAGTAATACAAATGTTTTAATAAGTTAATAGTTAACATTGTATCTTGCCTTTTTCTTTTTTACTTCCCTTTCTTTCTTTTGTTTGTTGCTTCAAGAATTAAGATGTTCTTTTCCTTTTAATGCTATCTGTATGAAAAAAGACAACAGTTGCTTACAACAAGGACCCCAGCCCGAATAAGCTACACTTGGGGATTGGTGTTTATCGAACAGAGGTAAGCATTTGTTACTTTTTGCCAATTTTATTGATATTTCTCACCCACTTTGACCATGACAAGTGGGGATTGAATACTTATATGATATAGGGTTACCTTCATCCAAATGTTTATTTATCTATGCATTTCAAGATTTCGGCATGCCATCAAAGAATGTGCTTTTCTATTATGGGTTAGTTTTTGCACTTCAATATGATCATTCCTGCGACCAGCTTCTTACCAGTAAAATGAAGCCATGATATTGATGTAAGACTGGTTCTTTCAGGTATTGTATTTAGTCAAATATAAAAACCTTCCTTAGCATTCAGTTGCATTAGGCTGTTGATGGCATGTCACTAACTGCTATAATTATGGATAAATATTAGAAAGTAACTTTCATGAGCATTTCCTTAGATTGCTTGCTTTTCTTTGATTTGGAACAATTTTCTGGATGGGCTTTGTTCATGGGATGACAGGAGGGAAAATGCCATGCATTGGATGTTGTTAGAAAAGTGGAGCAAATGCTAGCTAACGACCTGTAGGTATTTTGTTATTATTTTTGCCATCATAACTTTCCTTGGGTTGTGACTAAACTCTAATTTATCTGATGCTTAGGTTTGCTGATAAGGATTATCTTCCTATAACAGGAATGGCAGAATTTAATAAATTAAGTGCTGAACTCATATTTGGCTTTGGCAGGTACAAAAATACTATACTGGTTTAAAATTTATTAGATCAGGTTTCCCTTCTGAATCAGAAAGAAAGAAATTTTAAAAATTTAAAACACAGACTGGAAGGTTGTGTATCATTCAGCAAGGTTGGAGTTTATATATTCAATCTTAAAATAGTATATCAATCCCTGTTGCTTTTAGGTTATTTCATGAAATTTTTTTCCGGCTTCTTTAGATTCTGATTTTAGCTGAAGCTGTTTTTCTGTTGCTGGCTGCTTATATCATTGCTTTGGAAAAGCCCTGCCATCAAGGAAAATAGAGTGACTACTGTCCAGTGCGTATCTGGTTGTGGCTCACTGAGGGTTGGAGCTGAACTTTTAGCAAAACATGATGGCCATGTAAATGACTTCCTTCTTGTTCCTTTATGCCTTATGATTGGACTGTTTAACCTTACGTTCCACCTTGTTCTGCAGCATGTTGTTTACCTTCCTGAGCCAACATATGGAAATCATCCAAATTTGTTATCTGCAGCGGGGCTATCTTTGAAGACTTATCGGTATTATGATCCAAAAACACATGGACTAGACTTTCAAGGTCTACTTCATTTGGAACAATTTCCAGTTTCATCTGGCACAGTGCAATTCTATTTGGGCCACCATTTCTGTATATCATTTTAAGCGGATTATGTATCTAAATTTGGATATTCTAGGAAGGATATACCTAATTTGATTCTACTGTCAATTATGTTTTACTGAGCAACAATTTATTCCAATATGGTTACAACATTCCCCTTCCAAAGTACTTTGCACTGAAAATTATTATCTTCATTGTTCTCATGGATTTAGATAATTCATGTTGGTGGTGATAGGGCTTTTGGAAGATCTTGGCACTGCCTCAACTGGAGCCATTGTGCTTTTCCAAGCAAGTGGTCATAATCCAACTGGTGTTGATCCAACTCGTCAACAGTGGGAACAGATCAGGCAGTTAGTGAGACTGAGAGGTCTATTGCCTTTTTTTGACTGTGCTTATCAGGTAAGAAACTATGAATTATTAATTGCTTTAGGTTTTTACTTGAACCTCATTTAATGATGGATGGACTGCTTGTAGGGTCTGGTAAGTGGAAGTCTAGATGCGGATGCACAGTCCATTCGCATGTTTGTTTGTGATAGTGGTGAATGCCTTGTAGCTCAATCATATTCAAAAACTATGGGCCTATACGGGGAACGCATTGGTTCGCTTAGCATTGTAAGATACTATGATAAATCTCCTTACCATTAATATCTATCTCCATGTGTCACCATGCACATGTTCACATTATTTTTCCTTTTCCCAAGAATCACATGTCTTATATAAGAGCAAGATTGTTCAAACTATCTGCATATTTGTCACTAATATGGTTATCATAATTTGGGTTTAGGTTTGCAAGACAGCTGATGTGGCAAGGCGGGTTGAGAGCCATCTCAAACTTGTGATCAGACCCTTTTATTCAAACCCACCCATTCACGGTGCAGCCATTGTTACTGCAATTCTGAAGGATAGGTAATACATTATTGAGTTGTAGACTTTTAGTTACTCGGTATCTGCCTTGTGAATGTTGAAATGGTATTCTAAAGTTATGAATTGTTGTTTCATATAAGAAGATAAGAAATTGTTGGATGCTAGCAATCCTTAAAAGCTCAAGAAGTAAAAGTTTTCTGGGTAATCAAGTCTTTTCACCTTGGAAATGTAAAAAAAAAAAAACACAGAAACAAAAAACAAAAAAACAAAAACAAACAGTAGAAACACATCCAATTGAGTATTTCTGAAATAACACTATAGAGTTAAGGCGTATCTGAGAATGTAAATGAGCTTGGATTCGTTTTCTAGTGGCAATATGAATAAATGCTGTGTGTTAGAAATGATTAATCTGACATGGAATCCATCCTCTAAACTATGCCTTTTTTAAATTTGTTAATTCTTACTGAAGGGATTTGTACAATGAATGGACCACTGAATTGAAGGCAATGAGTGATCGTCTTGCCAAAGTACGCCAGCAACTCTACAGTGCTTTATGCAGCAGAGGTAAACCTTTATAGTTTGTCAATTCTTTACCTGTATATGTTGACTGTTTGATTTGCATAACAAATTCTTCTGAAAACTCAATTGTAGAAAACAGAAAGTAGGATGAGTTGCTTTTTGATCATTCAACTCTAAAAAACTAGGGAGAAGCTGCCGAGATTTTGCTGAACATTGCATGTCTGTGGATATCCTTTTCTTTTCTTGGCAGGGACTCCAGGTGACTGGAGCCATATTATCAGGCAAGTCGGAATGTATACTTTCACTGGATTGACTGAGGAGCAAATCGACTTTCTGACTAAAGAATACCACATCTACATGTCATCTGATGGGTAAAAATTTTCATCTACTCCTTTACTGTTTACAGCTCTATGTTCTCCTTCTTCTCTTTCAGTTATATGCAAATGTAGTTCTTGTTTGTCCTGCTTCAGTCAATGTCAGGCTCAAACCATCTTAGATAAAAATCTTAATCAATCATCAGCTACCTCTGGTAAACAAAACTTTGTTGAATTTGAACTTGCAGGAGGATTAACATAGGAGGTCTAAGTTCAAAGGCGGTTCCATATCTTGCAGATGCAATACATAATGTAGTTACCCGTACCATCTAAAACCTAATCTGCCATTTTTTTGTCTGAGCTCTCTTCCATCTGAATAATTGGACAGTAGCCTAGCCTACATAATGACATAACAATTGTTTTTAAGTTACCCAACCTTTGGGTTTTTTTTTTTTTGTCTAGTGTTTTTTTCCAATTTATTAAATGAATGAATTTTGTATTTGTGAAAATTTCCCATTTCGATGAATTTTTATTCTGTCTATGGATCAAACAAAAAGAAATGGTTTTCGTTTACCCCACTTTCCTCAAGAAACAAAGTTGGACACGTGTTGCATACAATAAGAAAAGTCGTGACACATTTATCTTCAGGTTGTCATTTTACCCCTATTTTCTTTTATTATTATTACTATTATTTTTTAATTTTACATTTTAAATCAACCCTTAGCAATTGATGAATAATTTAATATCAGATTGAACCAAAAGGGTGGAACGTTACTCCAACCTTGACAAACGTGCCATACCCAACTTTATCTTACTAACGTATAGCCACGTGGAACATTACTTCAAGCTTGACAAACATGCCAAACCCGACTTTATCTTTCTAGCCATAGCCACGTGGCATTATTAACTGCTTCTGTTCTGTGTTTTCTTTCTTTGGATTTTTTTGTAAAAAATTTTTTTAAGTAAAATATTTGCTTTTTAAAATCTAATATTACATTAAAAATTAAAATTGATTGTATAGAAATTAGAATAATCCAAAAGATTATGCTAAACGACAACAATTTGCAATTATATTTGTCTTAAAATTAAAACAATAATAAGATAGAAAAAGAAAAAGTGGACCCCCTTCAATCATACAGCGACCATCACTCGCCGCGTAAACTTTTCGTTTTCGTTCTTTCTTTCCTTATAAAAACAAAATCGCAACTCTCGGTTTCCGCAACTAAGCAATATCAAAATCTACACATAACCAATAAAAAAAAAAAAGCCTAAACTAAGCGTTCAAACGTATCAACAAGCTAACATGCGCCGCCCCGAGTTTACGTCATCATCTTCTTCGCCGACCGATCGACGGTTAAGCGTTCTGGTCAGACACCTTGCAACCTCATCACCAGTGATGGACTCTCAGACCACCGTAACATTTTCTCCCACCTCTGGTTTTCACGGCGACTCTGTTTTCTCTCACGTCGTTCGCGCCCCTGAAGATCCCATTCTCGGAGTATGCTAATCAGTTCCATCATTTCCTATTTTTTCAATTATAATCAAAATTATTAAGATTTAAGTCGTCACAATTAGTTAATCCCTCCCGTTGGCTCATTAGGTGACCGTTGCATATAACAAAGATCCCAGCCCCGTCAAGTTGAATTTAGGAGTTGGTGCTTATCGAACCGAGGTAATTTTCTTTTCTTTTACAGAAAGATTCGACTTTTCTTACTTTTTTTTTTTGGTTTTGAAAAATTGAATCTTTTATTTTGGTAACAGGAAGGGAAGCCTCTTGTTCTTAATGTGGTAAGAAAAGCAGAGCAAATGTTGGTCAACGACAGGTCACGTGTCAAGGAATATCTTCCCATTGTCGGATTGGCAGAATTTAATAAATTAAGTGCTAAGCTTATTTTTGGTGCTGACAGGTTTGTTAATTGGATATCTAATGTTATCAAAGTTTGCGTTAATTTTATTCTTTTTATTATATAATTCCTTTCTCTTTTTGGGGTTTGAATGTAGCCCTGCTATTCGAGAGAATAGGGTTACTACAGTTCAGTGTTTGTCCGGAACCGGTTCACTGAGAGTTGGAGCTGAATTTTTGGCTAGGCATTATCATCAAGTAAACTTCTTGTTAATTTTACTGTATGTTGTCATTATCCTTGGCTAATTTAATAGTTGTAATTCAATTTCATTTTCGACTGTACTTCTTGGTTTTGTTTTGCAGCGTTCTATATACATTCCACAGCCAACATGGGGAAACCACCCCAAGATTTTCACTCTGTCAGGATTATCTGTGAAAACTTACCGCTATTATGATCCAGCAACACGTGGATTGAATTTCCAGGGTATGAAAACTAGTACAGATGTGTAAATTGTTTATATCACAATACTATATTTCAATCTTATAAGTGTTCTTTATCAATTATTATCAACTACTTGGATAAAAGTTTTGTAATTTCTATCATTGTTGTAGAAGTGTAGAAGTTGCTGAGATCATTGTTCTTCACATTTAATTATGCATAGCTTGCTTTTGGTTTTTCCTTTTTTGGCGTCTGATAAGGATCAGTTAGATTTAGTTGTACTTTGTTATTTTCTTGACTTTATGATATTCATTTCTTGTGGCTAACAGGGTTATTAGAGGACCTTGGTTCTGCCCCATCTGGATCTATTGTGCTTCTTCATGCCTGTGCTCATAATCCCACTGGTGTTGATCCCACCCTTGAGCAGTGGGAGCAAATTAGGCAGTTGATGAGATCAAAGGCATTGTTACCTTTCTTTGATAGTGCTTATCAGGTAGGTAGAAACTGAATGCAACATTGTATATATTACTTTTGCATATTAAGAAACTTAAAAAGTTAGAAACATTTCATTGATGAGGATTGAATGAAGTTATTTGATACTACTATTATTACCATTTTAAAGAGGATTAAATCGTGACTTGTTATTATAGGGTTTTGCTAGTGGAAGTCTGGATGCAGATGCGATGTCAGTTCGTATGTTTGTCGCTGATGGTGGCGAATGCTTTGTAGCTCAGAGTTATGCAAAGAACATGGGCCTTTATGGGGAACGTGTCGGTGCACTAAGCGTTGTAAGACTCTAAGATTAATGGCTAGCATTCACTAAATTGCAATCTTTTAATTTATAGTGGCTTTTTTTATTCTTGTTGTATAAGTAGTGTGTTATCAAGATTTTTGGTCACCATATTTGTGAATTGGTATATCAAGTCGTTTATCTTTCTCTGCCTTGTTATTTGTGGACCTGCAGAAGGTATTCTGATTGTTTATCACAAATTACGTTGTTAATAGGTCTGCAAGACAGCTGATGTAGCAAGCAAGGTTGAGAGCCAGCTGAAACTTGTTATTCGGCCCATGTTTTCAAATCCACCAATTCATGGTGCATCTATTGTGGCTACCATCCTGAAGGACAGGTATGCACCCATCACCAGTGGTTGTCTACATGGCTGTTGCTGCATCATTCAGTTTGCACAAACTCTATATTGTTTTTTGTGTATGCATCAAATTTAAGCAACCAATTGTAGGCTATTGTTAAATGGATTTTCCAGATTCCAATCACCTACCCTGCTTTAGTGTTTTCTTTCTTTTTATGGATTTCATGCTCCTAATGGCTGTCCTTAAATATTTTTTTTTTCTTTTCACCAACAGAAACATGTACAATGAATGGACTATTGAGTTGAAGGCAATGGCCGACCGTATCATCAGCATGAGGCAGAAACTTTTTGATGCTTTGCGTGCTAGAGGTCATTCAACTTATTGCTAGTTCTTGTGTGTTTTCATTTGCTTTTCTGCTGCTATATTTACAACAATGAGCTAGTGGTCATTCAACTTTAAGGCATGCTTGTTGTTTACATAAAAGAAATAAGTAAACTTCGAATAACCTTCAGGAGCTACTTTTAATAAAGGTTCATCCTTGTGTATATGTTGTTTTATGACATTTTTTTTTTTTTTTTCCATTTGACAGGAACACCCGGTGACTGGAGTCATATTATCAAACAAATTGGAATGTTTACGTTCACCGGACTGAATTCAGAGCAAGTAGCCTTTATGACAAGAGAATACCACATTTACATGACTTCTGATGGGTAAGAAGCTCAATTACTGTAGTCTGTAAAAACCAAGTATTGAAATTGGGGTTTTTAGTTTTGCTGGATTATGATTCTTATATTTCCTTCACAAATTGGCCCATATCTCATTTTTGTCAAAGAGTTTGCATGTTGCTGACTCCAAGTAATTTTTACATATTTTTCTCTTGTGCACAGGAGGATTAGCATGGCAGGTCTGAGCTCTAAGACTGTCCCTCATCTTGCTGATGCAATTCATGCTGCCGTTACTGGAATGTCGTAGAAATTGGGCACAGCAAGTATCAACTTTTATGAGTAAAACCACCTTTGTTGTGAATCGCAGCAATGTTTTTCACTTTTCTGTTATCCTCCATTAATAATTGTAGCCCTCAAACACTCACTTCAATTGCTTAGGAGATTGAACAAGTTATCTACCCACCAAAAGAGAAAAAAGGTAATAAATCAACCTTTCAATGGCTGAGTCATTATTATATAAACAAGTGGTTCTATGTATATTTTGAAATAAAAGTAGATTTCAAATACAAAATCCAGGTCTTTACAGCTTTTTTCATTCTCATAATTGCTGTCAACCTTGCTCATGTTTATTAATTAACATATTCATAATTCAGATATTTTATAATTTTTAAAATTCAAGTGTAATATTAAATATTTTATTATAATTTTAAAATTATTCGGAATATTAATCTTTTTATTTAACTTAGCCAAATTAAATTCATTAATTTTAAAAAGTTAACCCATCACATTTAATCCGGTTAATTTTTGAATTAATCAAATAGTAAAATATATTTAATTTTTCATATTTAAATCAAATTAAATAAAAATCATCTAACAAAAAAAAATTCAAACATCAACATATTAAGATAAAATGATGGATTTTATATATTTTTAATTTTATATTTAAAATTTATTATATTTCAATAAAACTTTAATTAATTTAAATAAAATCAAAATTTTTATTAAATTATTTTAAATAATTCATCGAAATTAATTTAATAAACTATTAATTAATCCAATTAAATCAATTTAAGTCAATTAACTCTATTAAAAACCAAATACTCCTTGTTATGTAAAACCATTTATGAAAGTATAACTTAAAATGCAAGGATAAACTATATTCTCGTTGATGCCCGCAGTTTCGAAGTATTCTTGGAGAAGGATCATGATTTAACAACAGGACCAGACCAGGACGCAGAATTCCACCACTGTAACAAAACACCGACACAAAAACACAAGGAGAGCTGGAGAATCTTTATGCAATAGAACGATTTTTACCAATTAATTAACAAATTGAAGAATTTTGAAGATAATAATAATAAAATAAAATAAAAACATATAAATTACAAACAAGGGAGGCTTTTAGCCAAAAGAAAACACTATCTGCAACCTTTCAAAAGATAGGAAGAGGGGCTTGAGATGCTTATGGCAGTTGAGGACTTGCTATTTTCAGTTCCCTTTCCAGGTGTTCCACATTCACTAAAATCAAGGATGCGGCGCTCTGCCTGCAAATAATTATTGCATTCAAAATTTTCAACTAATTACTCTATAATAACAAAGGAAGAGGATGTTGAGCATGGTTTTTCTGTCATACCAAGATATTTGAAGCCAAATGCGATTGGACCTCCAATTGATTATTCTCTTTCTCCATTTTAGGATTGTTGGAGCGTCTTCCCTTTACAATTGATTCCGGTGTTTCATCTCCCAAAACCTCCAATGCATCAGCATAAGCAGCCGCAGTATGCTCATTTAATTGCTTCATCAACCCGATGGCATCATAGCTTCTATCCGCAGGGCTCATAAGATATCCGATGTCCTGGAAACAAAATTCCAATTATTATGAAGCATAAACAAACAAAAAAAAGTTAAAAAATCTACCTGAAGTTTTAAATTCCAATTATACCTCAATTGTTATTTCTGTGTCATTCCTTGGGCCTGGAACAAAAGAGTTGATAAACCAAGGAGACTTCCATGCTGACGGGGATTCAATACTTCTCCTGAAAGGAGTTCCCCCAAATCTGGCAAAATCCACATCAAGGAAGCAACTTGTAAGCAACCAATCAATTTATCCTAGCATGCGAAGTAGAAAACAAAAATAAAAATGAAAAATGAAAAGCAGCTCTTGACTATAACAAAATAAGCATTGGAATCTTACATGTTATAATTTTCAATACCAGCATTAGTCCCAGCATTATCAACCAAATTCTCTAGGGTTGCTGATGAATTGGTACATTGTACTGTAGAAACAGCAATTGAGTGCCCTTCACCGTTCTTTATTTTCAGAGTAGGAGAGCTAACAACTATGCATGCATTTCCTGATAAGCATTCAGAAGCAAAACCCCGATTTGATATAGCTCCAAAGCTTTTATGATACTGATTTATTGGAGTTCCTATGGTTGAAGACAATAATGGTCTGTCTGCTATAAGACCAACATGATCGGGAGAAAACAATAGTAGATCATTTAAATTACGCTCAACAAGCACCGTTGAATGCTGTTGGACCTGTCAAAAGTAGAGAGGGAAAGATTAGTAAAAAATAAATCAATTCAATGGTACATGCAAAAAGGAATATACAGTAATAAAGAAAGAAGAATTAAGACCAAGATTTCCAACATAAGACCATAAGAGAAAACAGTACAAGGTGTACATAGAATTATTAAGCATCATATCTGAGTTAAATAAACAATCACTATTAGTGTATGGCTCCAGATCCCTCAATATTCCAACACTAGTTTGAATTATCATTAAAGAAAATAATATTCCAACACTAGTTTGAATTATCATTAAAGAAAATAGGACCAAAAAAATTGACGGGGATTTAATCAGACAGCTGCACCTTAAGCTAGAAAACTAACATAAAAATTAATAAATAGAAAAAAAAAAAAAAAAAAAAAACTCACAATTTTGTCAGAAGCATCAGCCTCAGCTTTGTCCTTGGAATCACTATTGCAGGTTTCCATTTTCATGTTTCTTTGGGAATTAGTTCCATTAGAATCTTTCTTCTGAGCTTCATCATCTAATGATTCAGTGTGATCTCCCCCATTTTCTTGTTCCCGATCAAATGCTTGATACAGATTTTCTTTTTCTTCAACAGAGACACCAGAGTTGGTTTTATGTTCAGCTGGAGACACCTGAGATATGTTGCCAGTCCCAGTCTCATTGAACATAACATCCAAGCGAGAGAAATCTTCGGTCAAACTGGATGTCATGTCAGTTTCCAGCTTTTTGTCACTTCTTCTTTCTGATAAAGGTGACAATAGGTCACGGTGGCGTTTCTTCAAAATGGATGGTGTACCAGTAAAAGTTTTGGCAGCACTTTTCAGTACAGCATCAGGACTATCATCTCGTGATGGTGAATCCCACAACCTAAATGGAGTTATGCAGTTCATAGAAGACATCATCAGCTGGCGAATACCAAGAGGACTATATTCTTGCTGCATATCACTGCCAAACGGTATAAGATCGCAGCTGAAAAATGGCATATCCAAGCTAGGAAATCGAGGAGGCCCATAACATAGACCTCCAACATCTTGTACTGAAGGCAAGTTTGGCTTATCATCCACAGTAGGACAAGTTTGCACTGCATTTGATTCCAAACCAAAATTATTCACTGGAACCAATTTCACAGAATCCTTTTCAAGGTAAGATTCCTCTTGCAGGTCTTTATTATCTGTATGGTCATCATTAGTGTAGATAAAGCCATCGTGTGCATTCTTAGTAAATTCTTGCTCCTGAGTTTCAATAGGTTTACCAGTTAACTGACTGGGCTCTCTGCCATACATATGTTTACCATCCTCAATTGAAAGAAGTGAAGGAGACAGAAAAGATTGACAGCAAGAGGTTGGCAATGCTTCAGACCTTGGAGGACAATTAGATTGTGAGGCTGCAGTTTTTCCAGTTTCAGATATTTGGATGTCTGAAGCCTGAGAAAGTGACATATTTTTGCAGCCAACCAATTCAATCACATTAGATCCTTGTGTGAAATTTTCAGAGGCAAAGCATCCATCATTCACTGCCTCTGAGAATAGGACCCTGCAACATTCATCATCAGTGATCAACATATGCTCTGGTTTGTCAGAAGTTATAACCATATTTACAAAAGATGTAGGAGCATTTAATCCTACAGAAGTTTGAAATGCAGCATTCATCACTTCATGGCTTTCGCTAGTGTCTAGACAGTAAGTTGGCAACCCTGATGATTCTTGCCCCAATTCCAGAGAAGAAATATTAGGTAGATCCGTTAAACCAAACTGGTAATCCCCACTTGCAGAATACCCTGCTTCACAAGGTATTTCTGGAATGGAGAAGCTGAGGTCTTCGAAAGATGGATAATACTCTTCTGAACAAGGCGCTGGACTTGAATTCTTCTCTTTTGCCACACCAGGCATTTCAGCCAAGTGGAATTGGTCTCTTGTATGTACAGCAGCATTAGTCAAATCACCACCAGATTGAGAGCAGCCAACCATAGTTGACTCTTGGCTGCATTCTGACAAGTCCTCTACTTCTGTCCTACATTTGGCACCACTATCATCAACATTGCTCTGCATCCTCGAAGAAGATGAAGGCACAGGCTGGCTTAGATTTTTTAGAAGTGGGAATTGAAATTGTTCTAGGAGGCCTGATGCTATGTAAGAGTCCAATTTCTTTTTGACTGAACTATTCCAGTGATTCTTTATTGCATTGTCTGTCCTGTTGCTCAGACCAAGATGGAAATACAGCAAGTAAATGGTAAGTTCAAATGCAAAAAATATATTAGCTTCTATTTAACAGAACATTAGAGTTTAGACAAATATCAGAGGATGACTGGCAGTTACAGTAGGAAGTAAAAGAATAAGAGACAAATATAGGTAACCTCAATACAAAATTGATGGAAAGGTGTGGCCTCTCTAAATAATAAGTCGACATACCTTCCTGGCAAGAACTTTGTGAGCTCTGCCCATTTGTTTCCAAAAATCTGATGAGCACGAATCAGAGCCAACTCTTCTTCCTGAGTCCATGCCTCTTTGTTTATGGCAGGATTGAGATGATTATGCCACCTATATTAGTACTAAGTTGTATGAGTACAAATGTAAAACAAGAACAAGTTTTTATATCTTATACTTTTTTTGGGGGGGGGGAGTGGGGAGGAAGGGAGCATTATAACAGCTAAATACTTTCATAAAATCCAAGAGAAGATATTTGCAATAACATTCCAGAAGGAAAACCTCTCACAAACTGTTAAAATTCAACAGCATTAAACCAATGCGACCAGGCTTAGCCCTGCTCTTGTACCCATCATAAGAATGATCGCATTCCAAGGTTCAAACTCCCCCTCTCTCACTGGCCTTTTCCAAAATTTCAAATATAAGTGGGTTTACAATATTAAAATTAACAGCTCTAGCATTACACCTTTCTCTGCATTGCTTCCCAATGCGTCCAGGTAAGTGCTGAGCAATGGTTGACCACTTTTTCGGCCCAAATTCGTTCACCAACTCAATTATTAGTTCATCCTCCTGTTTAAATTTCAACAAAAGCAACTCAGAATGCCATTAATTATCAAGAAAAAGATTTTTTTTTTTTTTGTCAAGAACAATCAAATTTAAGGAATAGTGAGAAAAAAATAAGCAGCAAAAACAATCACCTCTTTGGACCATGGCCCTTTAACAAGTTCAGGATTCAAGACCTTTTGCCACCTATGTAGGCACTGTACATCAGTCCGATCCTTGAAACACTCCGCTGCAGATGAACCAGCTTACAATTAGATCATGTGAAATGATGCACGAAGAGCTATTATGCCATTTCAATTTGAAGATCATACCTATCTTTTTCCAATTTTTTCCTTTGAAACGTTGAACAGCTTTGCACAGAATCTCATCCTGCAAACCCATATAATTATGTTGTCAAATTGATCAATGAACCCACACATATATAGGGCCACAAATAATAATCGTATTGAAGGAGGGACTAAAATTACTGGACACAATAATACATGACATAAGAACAATAAAGTTATAGAAAAGAATTGTCTTAAAATACAAGAAAGCAACCATAAACAAGGGAAAGAAATATACCTCTTCAGCTGTCCATTGCCCTTTCGTGGAACGTCTTGTAGGACCACTAGTCCTTCTACAATAAGGATTCCAAAGTAAGCAAAACTCAGCAGTACATAAAATAATAATTTCTTGTAAGTTAACATACCTAGTAAGAGAAAAAAGAACGTTGTACAGGGGGGATGAGAACATCCAAGAACAAGAATAATGGTTCTAAAATTTTCAACTAAGAGGCACCAAAATTAACAATCACTAAGGTTTTAAAAGAAAAATACCCATGAAGAGCTCGCATTCTTTGAGCACCATCGCTGATGCTGAGCCCAACCGAAGGAGTCGATACTGTTCTGTCACCTTCCATAGTTCCTTTGCAGATGAATAAAGCCGCATACCCCAATTCCAACTCGACAACACTTCTCTCCGCAATATGCTCTCCAGATCATTATAAATCAACCTAACTAGAAAGTTCCTCCCCACGAATCCGCAGAACAAACTAACAGAAAAAGTTTTTAAAAAAAATCGAAGTAATTTTATAGTAATTAAAAAGTCACAAGTCAACGATTTGAAATTTTGAATTAAAATTTAATAAAAAAGATCCAGTAATTGAAATTTATAAGCAATTCTCTCAAATTCAAACCCTAGATCATGATCAAAACTCAAATTCATTCAATTTTCAACACTGAAAGAACCAATAGTTATTAAAGCAAATTGTTCAGTATTTAACTTAGTCATCAAGATCGAAGGAAGAAATTTCAAATTCATAAGACGGACAAAAAAAAAAACTAAAAGAACAGAAAAAGCAAGCACTCACCGAACTGAGCTTCGAAAACCGAGAAATGGAGACCCGAAGGAAAGAGGAATTAGAAACGATGCGCATTTGCAGATCCAAGAAGATAGGGAAAGAAATTTAAGATAGAGATCTGCAAATGCACCGCGAAGATTATAAAAGAAGAGGAGATAAGAAGAAAGCAAAGCGAGAGAGAAAATGAAACGGTCCGGAGAGATATTCAAACATAAAGGGGCGGACTAATGGAGTTTCAAAACCTATGGTTAAAGATCGAACATGTTTTGTATTTGATGGCCCCGATTCGTCCACGTTGGAATCCTCGCCGTCCATGCATGGTACGATTAGGCATTTTTTCAAATTCCCAACGGCTTTTCTTTTTTCTTTTTTTTTAGAAATAAAACATATTAATTAAAATTTTGATAATTTTTTTGGCTAAAAATTTATGATAATCTTTTTTGTCTTTTGAGAATAAAATCGTGGTAATTTTAATAAATTTAAACTCTTATATAACAATCTTTTATTATATTTTTTTATGTATTATTATATGTTAAATCTTTTTATGGATAATTTTATTTTTTTCTTTAATATAATTTTGGTTTTAGTTTTTTCAAGAGAAAGAAACAACCTTAAAAGAATTTTTTTAAAAACTATTTCTGTTGGTTTAAATGTGTCTTGTCTTGAGAATCAAAGAGAAAATAATTATATTTAGTATGAATTTTAATTTGTGATGTTGATTTACTCAAAACCATATAATTAAATTAGTTGGTCGACGATTCTATACAATATTAAATTTGGTATTCAAACATTTTCAAGGACGATATATGTTGATTTTCAAGTTATGAGTTAATGGTTAGAATTTAAATGTCTTTCACGGCCAAGAAAAAAAAAATTAAATGTCCTTAATCTACCATCCACACATGGTACATAATGGGTTATATATTTATAAAGGCATTAACTATCTTAGGTCCACGAGGTTGAATAATACCATTATTGGAAATCAAAGTTAATAAACGTGTCTTTCGAAAGAAAAAATATTGCAATATGAAAATAAATAAAAAAAATTATTTTTTAGATATTATGTCATAAAATAATTATATAAATTAATTAAGTTAAGATCTAGATTCAAGTCAAAAATAAAATTTTAATCTCTCATATCCTTTAAAAAATACAATAAATGATAGGAGGATTTCACTTACAATAATTATAATATAATTAATCAATTCTAATTTAAAAGTATATGAGATTTATCAAAATTTTACATGGATCTTATACTTATAAGTGGTGGATCTCTTAAATAATTTTTTATTATGATTAGATAATTATAATATTATAATAAAATAAATGGTAAGTGAAATGCTTTCATAAATGATTTTTGCTTGATAAGAGAAAGTTTTTTTTTTTTTTTTGGTCAATCAATATTTGATCTTTGTGAAAAACATTTTAAGAATAAAATATTAAATGTATTTTTTTTTGTCAATCAATAAAATATTACATTCATATACAATATATCTTTGAATAATCAACTAACAAATTAAAACATAATTATATAATTAAATTTACACACGATAAAATCTTGAATTTAAGATTTCAAAGTTCTAAAACTTTTATATATCACTAAATCAAGGCCTTATTGGAAATGATTTTTTTTTTAAAATTTGATGAAAACCATGTATTAAATGCAATTTTGTTTTTAAAATAAGATTTTAAATATCATTAATGCTTATAAGCACCTATTATTAACCAACGTGTCTTAATAATTGTAATTAATCAAATTGAACTTGCTAATAAAAGAGATTATAGTGGAGATACTGAAAGATGCTGCAATATTTATCAATAACGAAAGATGTAATATTTGATTTCCTTATAATTTTTTTTTTTAATTTAGCCCCTAATATAGTAGCAAGGTGAAATTGCCTTTCAAGTATTTCTACTTGTGAGAAAATGCCAGATACTGATGGTATAATAACACTATCATGCAATAAATAAGCAAACAAAAATAGACAGACGTGCAGCTTCAAAGTATTAAATGATTCACCATCCAACAATGGAAGAATCCAAAGATGCCACCTTCCTATCTGAACAAGGACTGTCTTTCGTTCACTGTCTTAATTCGTTTCCACTTCCACCAACAAACCAGCTCATCAAGAACATGGAAAGCCAGTTGAATATTATAAAACAGAAAAAAGGGGAGAAATTAAGTAAAGACGAGATCTTCATGAAGAAGTAGAATTAGAAGAACTCCCCTTGAAGATGAGAAAGTTGAGAGTTTCCAACGCGAAATAGATGAAAGTTCCTTTGAAATGGGTGAAGAAACAACTGAAGTTTGTACCCACCACGCATTGCCATCCAGGCCCATATGTCTTGTCAAAATCCTGTAGTGCTAAACAAAAATTAATCCAAGAAAGTTCTGTGAACAAATAGCACAAGGGGTAGTGGTTTGAAGTGACTTTGATTACCTTTTTAATATAGGCAGCGATGGGAATGCAGTCAAATACTTCATAGAGATCAAGGGCACGAGAAGCAGAAGACAGGGCTTGAGCCTGCATGTTCAAGGGCATGTCTGTGTCTTCTATCACAGCTTTACCTTCCAACATCTCTTTCTCTGTCTCTTCTCTCAACCTGTGTTAATAATACCAAAGAAACCTGGGAGATTCAGAGGATTTCTATGTGGTAGAAAGAAAAAATGATTCAACGTTCCTAAGGACTTTCAAGTCTCCATATTTCTTACATCTTTTTGGAACTTTCTTTCATCTCATAACATCCCTCTTCACTGTAACTATTTGTGATGTCATTGCAAAGGATAAAGCAAGTGAGGCAGATATTAAGCAAGGAATCAGTGTATTTACTTTGTTTAGACTTTAGAATTTAATGAAAGCAAAATCTACTATTTTATTTCCAAGATTAAAAAAAAAAAAGCCATTGAAGAACAAAAACAAGCCAGCTACAGTGCTACACCCTACTGCTGGCTGGTGAAACCTTAAAATAAAAATAATAAATACAGGCAAAAACAGGAGCCAATGCTCCATGGTCCTTTTTGGTAGTTGAAGAAAATAATTATAGCCATAGAATTTTAAAGGTGATTGAAGATTGAAGGGTAAGGAATAAAAGGTGATTGGTAGTAAATTTGCTTCAATTTACATCTTAACACTCTCGATTTGCATTTGCGAGAAAACAAAAGAAAAAAAAAGACCAATTTGAAGGAAGTAAAAATAGCAGGGTTTAAATCATTCGAGCTACAAAAAAATATTGCCACGTGTTATATAAAGCAAATAAAACTTACGGCTAACTTAAGCCAGAAAGAACCTTAAGCTATGGTACAAAAATGATCTCGAAACCCATCTTACATCCATAAATCACTCTCACGCTGATCCACTTCTTTTAGCTTTATTTGGACGACCTCTGGAAGAATCATTTTCTCTACCTCGAGCATGTTTTCCACCTTTGTAGTGCTTTCCTCCCCTAAGAAGCCTAGACAAAAGAAAAAAATTTAACAGACGAATTAATTAGCAGGAACATAAAACGGGCAATTTCCTAGGTGATTTGCTTATCCAAACGAAAGAACAAAGCAGTTGAAGAGGATTGGCACGGACCTTGATTGAAAGCGCTTGTTTTCTCGGTGCTTTTCTTGGTTACCACGAAGTAGACTCCAATACTCCCTCTCAGCATCACCTAAAACATTACCAACTCTTTATGAGTTCGTCATCGATTACATCAGGATTTCTTGACCTAAAAGCCATCACTTCCTCATGTAATACATACTTTCCCGTTATATGTGAGATAAAAATTAGTCAATAAGGCAGGAGATCAACAATGAAATAACATAGTGACCCATGTGGCTTTCCAAACCATACCCACCAAGCAATTGCCACAGGATATGAAGGTAACATCTTAATGAAACCTTGCACTAATAACAGGAATAAAAATTAGGCGACATGCAACAAAAAATTTAGAAATAAGGTTTAAATGAAATAAAATGGAAGTTGATTCTTCCTTACCAGTTACAGGTTCTAAATTAGCAATGAAATTTTTGACAACCAGGCCACCTTCTTTAGCCAGCACTGCAGCGGCACGAGCTTTTTGGGCTGCTTCAGGTGCATCAAACCGAATGTAACCCTTATCCTCTCCAACTTTGAAATCAACATACTTCACATGTAAAAGAATATGCATCATGGGGAAGAAGTACTTGATAAAGAAGAAATATCGAATTAATTGAAAAGAAACAATTGTCTAGTGCAAAGATTGTTAGTTAATATGTTTTAGTTTTTAGTTATTCATTTGTATGGACCAAAAAAACTTAAAAAAAAAACTATAATTAAATGATCAAGAAAAGGGAGACCAATTTCAATAATACCTTTACAGTGCCGAATTTTTGAAAGACATCCTTCAAATCCTCACGCAAAACAACATTCATATCATCTTTATAGACAGATGCAGTGGATTTATGTTTATCATCAATCTTTTCTTTGCTGTCATTGTCATTTTCTGTAGTCTTCTGTTCACTTCCGGTAGCACCCTCCTTTGTGAGCTCATCAGAAACATTTTGCTCTTGAGAGTCCCCAGCTGAAATGCTCTTTAATGTAAATGCTACAAGTAAGCCCTTGGGATATCTGTTATAATCATTACATGGAATCTGGTTACAAACATATGGCAAGAAAAACTAATGCCAATTCAAGATTTTGATTTATTACTTACTTTTCTTCTACATTTGAGTCATAATCACCAACATCCGCAGCTTCTTCTTCTTCTTCTCTTAAAGCATCAAAATCCTTCCTAAAATGAAAATTAAGAGAACAATCACATCAGAAAATAAAATCATAACAGCAGTTACAAATTCAAAAGCAAAACCTATTTCAAAACAAACAATATCAGACAACTTGATTATATGTTCTTATTCATTATAGATGACTTGAACCCTACATCGAAAGTCAATACTGCTTTATAGTCGTTTCACCATACAGCATGATTAGGCAAACAAATGGCAACAAAATGATTAGCCACGTATATAGCTTACTTTGGTTTTAATTCCAGCTCAGCGCCTGCAAAAACCAAGCTTTGCTCCAAGAACCTTTGGGCATCCTCCTCAGCAGAGAATTCAATCAAAGCCGTGCCACAAAAGTACTTTTTGTGCGTCACATGACCAGGCAACCTCACACTATTAACCTAAAATAAGTAAGAAGACAATCAGTTTAGATTAAATGGCAAACATATCCGTAACCCGTAAACAAATAATTGGTTTTCGCATTGTAACTAAACAAGAAAATATTTGATAACAGAACAACTATTACCATCACTGAGCAATACCTTAGCATATTTCCCAAAAAAGGCTTCTACATCTTCCCTCTGGACATTGTACTCGAATGGTGATGCAGCAACTGTTCTACTGTCCAATTGCTCTATCATTTCGTCAGGGTCTAATAGGTCAGTGCTTCTACCAACTTTCTTCCCTGAAAAAAAAAAAAAAGAAGAAAAGAAACCTTTCGGGTCAGATTTGGTGCATAAGATAATGGATAAGACAGCATAATAATCATTCTATATTATGTTTGGTTTGTATTTAATTGAAAGGGATAAGATTACAAAGAGGATTATCATTCTCTTAGTATAGGATGATTCAATCCTCTCAAAATAGAGAGAATTATTTAATCCATGGGATTAAACTTACATGTTCTATTATACCCTTAAAATTACATTAACAATTTAAATTGTATAAATTTTGAGAAAAGATAATTTTGACCAATAAATAAATTCTCCTATCTTAATCCTTGCACACATCAAACATAAAATAGGATGTCATTTTTTTAATCTAATCCTATTCGTAATATCATCTCATCCTATTTTATCATAATTTTATGTACCAAATATGACCTAAATTTCTTAGCTTAAAAGAAAAAACAATTTTTTTTTTTGAGGTTTATAAAACTGACCATCTTCAGAAACCTTGAGGGAAGAGGAAGTTCTGAGAGTTTCAGCAACGGCTTTCAGAGTAACCTCTGGTACATCATCCGCCTTCACAGCCTTTAAATTCAAATGGCCTCTCATCTTTGAAAACGAACAAATCAATGCCAAACTAACCACTTTTTATTCACAGTCAAGATCAACGACAAAAACAAAGCACCATGAAATAAATAAATAAGACATCCAAAATTTTTTTTAAGAAAATTCTTCACAGTCAAACAACGGGAAAATAGTTTAAACAAAAAAGGACGATTGAAGTGAAAGGATACTGCCATCTTCGCTCTCGCTGATTTTTTTCTTGAGAAAATCGTCTCTTGGAATATTGCTATCACTGAAGTAAAACTCTACCTGTATTTAAAAAAAAAAAGTTAAACAACACCAATTGCGAAGCGATTGAAGAGAAAGGAAATCGAACTTAAAAAGATGGGGGGATTTTGACCTGGCGAAGAACAGCCTTGGCAGTATCTTCGCTCAAAGAAGGAGTCGCCATTGCTGTACGGTAAGTGCTTGAGAGACAGAGATTTGGAAGAGTTGAGACAGAGGAAGAGAGCGGTTGTGTTTAGGGTTTAGGAGTAGCTTGGATTGGGCTTCGGAGTTATATTGTGGGTTTTTTAAGTATGTTTATGTTTTTATTGTAACTTCCTGCACGAACTTCCCTCTACCAAATATCTTTGTCCCTTTGTCACGGCAACATAAAATTACCCTTTGCCGTCCCATTTTCAAAGTCAAAAAATCTTTTACAAGGAAGTATAAAGTTTAATTAAACTAATAAGCGGTTGGTTTCAATTAGATTTAATTTTTTTTATGAAGAAATTTTAAATTTAAATTTTATTGATAATTATTTATTAAAATTATTTTAAATGTATAATTTATAATTATTTATCTTAAATTATCAAATATGATATATATTTTTTTTAAATTTGAGAAACTAAATATCTTATCTATTCTAAATTTTTTTTTAAATAAAATAAATAAAGTTTAATTAAATCGAAGATTTGATTTATAAAATAGATTCAATTTCAAGGATAGTTTAGACAATCATAAGAGATCAATAGATTGGCTATACATATTAACGCTTTGTTTTGAGTTCTAATTTTTTTAATTTAAAACAAAAATATATCTAAATAAATTATTTTGTTTTCAAAAACAAATAACTGAAAATAAAGTTTTGAAAATATTTTAAAATCACTGAAAACACAAAAATGAAAGTTTTAAATTTCAAAAACGTTTTTGGCATTATTCGTCTACAGGACTACAATATTACAGTATAACTATAGTATCAATTTTAATGTTTGAAAATTTTTAAAAAAGATTGTTAAAACGAGTCAAATCTCTATCATCTTATAATTTAAAATTTTAGGTTTAAAATATTAAAAAAAAACCTCCTAAATTTTTTTATTTTTTAAATAATTTTTATTTATTGTACTTAATTAAACTCTTATACTTCGTTTATTTAAATAAACTTTTATTTTTCAGTAAAGTAATATAATTTTTTTTTAGTTCTCTTTAATCAAATAAAAATTAACTTGCCATAAGTAAAAATTTTATTTCAAGTATTTATGGTCGTAAGAAACTGATATCTTACATGCTCAATATCTTATGTAAAGTAAATAAAATGATAAATTTTAAAAGTTTTTTTTTATTATTTTAACCAAACTTCTTTTAATCACTTTCTTTTATCTATTAACAAATTTCTACAACAAAAAATTCTATCCAAACATATTTTCAAATTCAATAAATTAAAAATAAAATAAAATATTTTTGAAAACATAAATCATAAAATATACTACAATATTAATAGTAAATTTACTAATCTATAACTTGGATTTATATTGATTATACGAATATAGCTTCACCACACAAATATAAGGGCAAAAGTTTACTTTTATTGCATTAATAAATTTGGTTGAATTAAAGTGAGAGATTCTCCATCATACACCAAGCTTTTCAGGGCGGTGGTAGATGGAGAGTGCGTTGTATTTCAGATAAATAAATAAATATATATATATATATAAAGAAAAGTTCGTAGTGTGATATTTTTTGTAAGTCTTTCGATCTCTTACTATTTATTTTTTGAAAACTGTTTTATATTTTGAAACCCCTATCTGTTTTTCTAGTTCCTTTGCTGGTATTTGTGGCTGCAATTACCTTTGTTAATTGGCTTTTAAGAAACCTTATCGAAAAACAAATGGTTTTAAGAACCTAAAACATAGAACAAAATGAAGAATATAATTGTATCTACTCAGATTAAATTTATAATCATAATTTACATATAAAATCTTTTTTAAAATTACAACCGCATGCCATTAGTATATCTGTAAATGGTTTTATTGATTTGTCTGCTTCTTTTTTAAAAAAAAATTTATAAAAATTGATAAAATTGAAGAAAAAATTAATAATATTACTGATAAATTAGAACAAAAATCACAAACAAATGATTTTGGTCCTTTATATTATGGAAATACTATTATGATCAACGATGATAAACCATCAACCTAAAAAAATCCTACTTTCTCTAAACAACAGGAAATGGATTTTCAATCTTACAAAAATTTGATTGAACATCTTAAACAAAAGATGAAAAATTAAAAACCTCCAAAAGAACGGGTGGAATATTTAAAAATGATCAAAAATTTATATCATACCCATATAAGCCTTTTTACAAAATTTATTTATCATTATATGGTAAATTATGATACCACTAATGAAAGTTCCAGTAAGAAAGCATAAATGATAATTTTGATAACATCCTAGCTACTAACTCATTAGTAAAAGATGAAGTCAAATTTGAAACTTCTGAAGAAATAGAAGAAGAAGAAAAATCAGATCCACAAATAGTAAATCGTGGTAAAAAAAAAGTAGGTGAAATTTTTAATCCAGAAATTGATTATCTACTAAGATTTCTAGAAATGTCTAACTTAGACATTCTTGAACAACATTAACCTTATCTTATAAAAAAAGATGAGATAAAAAATACAGAACTAGGGTAAACAACCTAAAGTTCTAGCAATACAAACATTGAATCTCTAAACAAGATAAATATTACATCTGGAGGAACATATTTAGATTTATCAAAAATCTCATTATCAGAACATGAAAAAATCATAGATGATTAGGCACAATCAATGTCTGTTGTAGTAACTCACTACAAAGATAATTAGGCTAAAGAAAATTTTTTAAATTATTTTTGTGAAATATGGCAAGAAAATGTTTTATAATTTCTTCGAAAATGAAAAAATTCTGAAATAGGAAAAACCCAAAAAGGAAATCTCCTAAATCAAATTACTATTATTCCAGATATACTCAAAAGCCTAACCCATATCTTAAAAAATGAATTTTATGGTAGTATGGATGAAGCTAATCCTAACAATGAAGCTCAATATATACTATCAAAATTAGAATTATGTAACATAAAAAACCTTGATGATTATTTTAAAAAATATATGAAGTGAATACCAAAGATTGGATGAAAATATTCAAACTTTTGGAAAGAACAATATTTTCATAAACTTTCTTCACTATGGAATGAATTATGTTTACAAAATTGTTCTACTTATTTAGAATTATGGATAAAAAAGTCCAATAGTTCAAGTACTTCCTCTAATAATATCGCTTTATACGATACTCTTAGAAATAAAATAAACTATATTTAGATTCAAGGCTCTAATACCATTTACAGAACAAAACAAAAGGATCATAAAGAAATGGATTATCGAAAACTCTTGGTTTAAGAGCTGAAAACTTAAGAGCTTAAGAGAGCTGTTACGAAAAAGAGAGAGAAGAAAGAAAAGAGAAAAGAGCTCCGAAAGACTTTGCCCTAACAAATGCAAAGAGGTTCTATTTATGAAGATTCTAAATTATGATTTGTATAGTAACTAACTATAGTATGTAAAGTAAAAGTTGACAGTTATTTTCAATAGTGACGATTATTTTTATCTTTTTACTGTAGCAAATTGAAGTTTGTCTTCTAGCTTTTTAGCTATTTCAAATACCGATGCAAGTTGTTTGTTTGTGTCAGTGGTGGCTTATTTTTTGTTGGAATAGTGCTATCATTCTTGAATATTATCTAGATTAACAAACTTTTCATCTTTAGGATTAAAAGATTGTAGAGAGCCTGTTCTAGATTTATTCCAAATCTGTCATCCTTCTTGATATTAGAATAGTAAATGCTTTGGATGATCTAATTCTTCCATGGTAGAAATTTTGTATAATAGATCTAGTGCTTCTGGTTCTATTATTCCTATATTTGCTCATGTCTTACGAACAAAATTCCTTTTTTCATTTGTTCTGAAATCAATGTAGGGGAATTTGCAAGAAATTATCTGAGTATGCAATGTTTTTGCATGCTGCATCAATGTAATTCCTACTTGAAATTGATAGTTGGAAGGATTAGAGAATTTTTTAATGACTAAATCCAATTGTTCTAGATTTTCAATGGAGTCATTTTGAGATTCTAGGAGTGGTCCTGACATGGGTTTTGTCATTTTTCAGATTTGATATGGCTGAAAAAATCTCTCTTTGAAAACTTTAAGCATACTAGTAATTCAAAAATGTACATATAAGAAATGCTGATTATTTTTTACAAATTCAGTAACTATTGATTTGATAAATGTAGGAAAAAGGAGCAATTTGTTAAAAGAAAAATTTTGAATAAGGATTTGTCCAACAATTTCGATTTCAATGCTTTTTACATCGAACGGATCATGATCAAGTTTGAATTTTATTAGAGGAAAGATTTCACCTATTTTTGGGTTTTCTATATAGATAGCAAAGTAGTATTCTTCAAATTTTTCTCGCAATATTTTTTGTATTTCAAAAAGAATTGAATGATTGATTTGCAGAAATAATTCTTTTGTTAAGAATATTGTAGCTTTTTCGAATAGTAAAATTGTTTTTAGTTTTAATATTTTTGAAGAATGAGTTTTTTACTTAAAATATTCATAGAGTTCGAGGAAATTGTTTATTTCCTCTATACTGTATTGGTTTTCTTCTACTGCAAAGAAATTAATATCTTGCTGTTTTAGCAAATTTGATTCACAAAGATTTTTTAAAACCATTTCTTCAAGATGGGCTTGATTTTTGGTTTGAGACAAAAAATTCAGCTAATTTGATCATCCCTTTACGAAATTGAGATTTATTTTCTGTCAAATGGGATTTTCAAATATTATTAAAAAGATTATAAGTCTTTAGGTTAAGATTAGGATTATAGAAATCTTTTTGCAACAGGTTTTTTGTTTACTTAACAATCTGAGAATATGAAACAGGTGTTCATTGGTTAGGATTCTGTGAGAATTGAGAAAGGTTTTACAGTTGTAATATCGATTGTACTACAAATTGTAGAAATTGAAAATAAGGTCTTAGAGGAATATTTGGATTAAATATCCTCATAGAAGGTAAACAAAATGTGTAAATCCTAGGTTAAGATTTTAAGAAGTTGAAGAAGAAGAGGTAACCTTTTTAGTTTGCTTCTTCTGAATGGTTTGCCATTCTTCTTTGTTTTCTAGAGGCTTTTTGCCTTTATCCATCTGGCCAGCTAAGATAATCTATAATAATATTTTATCATTGTTAATAAACTCAATATTGAAATTATATTGACATAAAAAATTATACCATTTAATCTTTTTTGTATTATTGTCTATTTTCTTGTTTTTAAGAAAATCTCTTACAGCCTAATTATCAATTTGAATTGTAAAATTTTTAGGTGCAAGATATATATGAAAACGTGTTACTACATTTTTTATAACAAGTAACTTTTTTTCAAAAATTATATATTTTATTTTGTTTTGTTTAAACTTTCCTTAATTGTATCCACAAATAAGTTCATTATTTTGAACTTTGGCTTGTAAAACACATCCACAGTGTTCATCTGAGACATTAGTTTCTAAAATCAGTTGATCGCCTTATTTAGGAAGACAAACTTTAGGAATATAAATAAGATTTGATTTTATCTATTTGATAATTTCAGTATCTTGTTTCGTAAAAAAAAAAAAAAAGGGTATTGTTTTTCAATTTTTCTTGTAAAAGCTTCTTTTTTTTATAGAGGTTTTTTATGAAATGTCTTCCATAATTAAAAAAATTTTAAAGTTATTGTAAATGTTTTTTATTTTCCAATGTTTTTGAAAAATCTTTGATTTTTGAAATAATATGATATTGTAAAGTAAGACCATCAAAACAAAGATTTAATCTTAAAAATTTTAATTTTTGTTTTTTCTAGCTCAATCTTTTTTGGGTTGAGAATAATTTCATGTTTTATAAATTCTTGAGAAATTAAATTGAGATGAGTTCTATGTTGAATCAAAGTTTCTAAAAAAACAAGAATATCATCAATGTAGATGCAACAATATTTTTTGTGTTTTACAAAATAATGTCCATCCATCTTTGAAATATTTGAGGTGCATTACAGAGATCAAATGGCATTGTTGTCCATTGGTATTGTTCCTATAGAGCACTAAAAGCAATCAAGGGTTTTGATTATTTAGAAAGCATGATTTGCCAAAAACCTGATTTACAATCAAATTTACTAAAATATTTAGCATTTTTTGCTAAATTTATTAAAATAGCTTTTCTTGTAATGAAATATCCATTGAAAACAAGATTTTGGTTAAGCTTTTTACAGTTGATTACCATTTAGCTTTACCTCATTTTTGCTCAACATGATTTTTTACCATGAAAGCAAGACTAGAATGTAAGCTATTTGTTAGTTCAATTAAACTTTTTTGTAAAAGATCTAAAATTTGAATTTCAAATTCGTCTATATCCTGTTTGGTATAGATCATTGGTTTAACACGAATATTATGATATATGATTTGTAGATCATAATATCGAGGACTTCTAAACTATAATTTTAATGGTTCTTTACTAAAATTTTCAAAAAAAACTTTGAATAACCAATGTTTTTCACTGATAGCTTTTATCTCAGCTTTATTAGTTTCAAGCTGAAAATCTTTATCATAAATATGCTTATGATTTTTTTATTAAAGGAATGTCTATAGATTGTTTATCTATAGTCATAGTGACTTTATCAAGATTAAAACTTAAAGGAAAATAATTATAAAGAAAATTATATCCTAATAGCATGTCTCTTTACATATGAGGAAAACAAATTACTTTTGGAATAATAAGTTAATATTGTTAAAATAAATAGGAATATCCTTTGCTTTAAAACCAATGATGGTTTCTTTACCATCAATTTCTATTCTTGTTATTGGATGTTTCATGGGTTTCCATTTGTTTAGTGAAAGTGCATGACTATGACAACTAAAGATTGTTGCTCTTGTGTCTAATAAAATATGGAGAGAATAAGGTTTATATTTTTGAAAACAAAATTCTCCTTGTACATAATTGTAAAACTGTTTTGGTTGATTATTAAAAAATGTAATGATATCATTTTCACCAATTTTGTATTGTGAAATGATAGCAAGACTTTTTTATTCTTCTCTAGTTTTTCTAGTATAAGAGATTGAATTTAAAACTGAGTTTAATGTATTGCAAACTGATGGTTGTGATTGACTATCACTTAAAAATATTGAAATTTGAGTGCTATTTGTACTATTACTCCATTGAAAACCTGAAAAAAAAAAAAATTTTGTATGGTGTAGCAAAGGATTGATTGCTACATAGACTTTTTGTCTCATCTTCTTGATTGGAAAATGACGAAATTGAAAAGGGTAGAACTAAATCAGGGTTTGAATTAGATCTACCAATTTCAAGGATTTTAAAATATACGTTATTACCATAAGCGAAAAATTCTAAAGAATTGACTCTATTTTTTATAAGTATTTTTTTAGAGATATCTTCAAGTAACCATCTTGATGGATAGATAAATCTCTAAAATCCATTAATCTTGGTTTGATTTTTGTATCAAAAGATTTAAATTCAAAAATTTCAATAATTTTTGGAACTATCTGTTTGATAAATGTAAAAATAACATTCATAAGCTTATAAATAGCTGTTCAATTAATAAAAAGATCATGAGCAATTTCATTCAAATCAAAATTTTTTATTTTGGTTCGAAGTCTTAAGCAATCTTCTATGAAAAGATTAGTGATAGAAATAAAATAATTTAATCTTACTTTAAACCAAACTACACTAGTAACTAAATTAGATTGAATTCTCTCAATTATAGCATTTACTGAGTTTGAAAATCTTTTACATTAAAACTGCTAAAATAAAAGTGTCTTTTCCTGATATAAAAAGGGATTTTATGACAATCATAATAACTCCTATATGAATATATTTTATTTTAGAAAATTTAGTAAATTTCTCGTTTCGCAGCAATAACCGCAACTCAACTCCCAATTCATCAGCCGCACAGTAGCGGGCCGACTTCAGAGTCCAGACCCGGTTAGACCAATTATGGCTCTTGTGGATAACAGGGTTCTTTTTTCAGTAAGAGGCCGCGCAGATAAACAATAGCATGATGCACTTAACTACAATGAGATCTTGAAACAGAAGGAAGGCCTTCTATTAGAACCTCCCCAAACTAATTTCCATTCTTCATTAACCAAAATCTTTCACTAAAAACTTGGAGAAGACATAAGAAACATGACAAGAAAAAAGAACAAGAGATCCACCATCACTAAAATCAATCTTAGTGGTCATCCTCTTGAGCATGCACTAAGCACAACCATAAAAAATTGTCAACCTCGAGCATCCCTTGATAGCATCAGTGAGTTTATGCGGTAAACATAAGCAAAACAAACTTAAAACCATTGTAATATGGCATGATGATTTGCAAAGTTGCAACCTGAATAAATGTTAAAGTTGAAAAAAGATCACCCAGTAATCAATCGACAATTGAGATTTGAATCATGTTTAGTAGTATATATTGCAACTATAACAGAAGCTCATCTCTCCCACCCTCAACCTTTACTTCATTCTACTCCTTGAAGTTAGTTTCCATACCATGTTGTCTCTTTTTCTTATCAAAACCGATGGAAGTAAATATCCAGGACTGAGGTGACTTATTCATAAGGCAAATAACTTCGAGCCAGCAATCAAAAAGTAACAACAAACCGCCCTTCTTTGATGGGCAGCAAGTTTTTGGCAGCCAGCAGCGTCTTGATTGACACTGAAATACTAATATGTTTCACATAAAATCCTCTTCAAGTTCCTGCAGAGACTTGCTTGTTGCTGCAATTTGTTTGTTTGATGTCATCTTTTCAGACACCATGAAACCCTTGTAGCTTCTTATCTCTGCTTGTCTTTCCTTTTCAAGCCTTTCCAGTTCCTCACGTCGTTTCTGCCAAAGAAATCAAAAGATTTTCATTTTACACATTCAATTAAGAATAGGTATATGGATGGGTAAACATACGTGTGCATAAGATGAGACTATAATCTGCATATTTTCTAATCACAATCCATGAATTGTAAATTAAGCTTCAACGCCTAGTACCTATCGTATAAGTATTGTATAAGCCACACAACCCTAGTAAATTCTTAGGGTTTTAAGGCAAATATCTGAATTATTAGCAGCAAAGAAATGCAGAACAAAAATCCATTAAAACATTGTGCTATTCTACCATAGTTTCCAGTCATTTAGTTTATTTATTAGCAAATTGCAAATTGTGGGAAAATAATTATTTACAGTTTTGTAATCTTGTAATCTGTATATTTATATTTATATTTATATTTATATTTGTATCTTTAGAATTAAGTATTTGTATCTCTAGAATCGAGGACAAAAAATTAAGATAGACAATACTCAATTATAATATTAGTTTTTTAAGAAGATTTAGTTTCCTAGTTTAACCCCTAATTAGTTGTATATAAACCTAAAGTTCTTGTATAATTCGAAATGAGCAATTTTTCATATACATTCAATTTTTCTCTTAGTTTTTTACATAATTTTATTTCTTAATTTTTTCACATGGTATCAGAGCTTTAGGCTCTTCTTGGAAAGCAAAATTTTCAGTCTTCATTGCTGATTTCTATTTTAGGCCTTTATTGTCGAACCCTGTTTAGGCCTTCATTGCCGAACCCTTTCAAAGAAAGATATATCACTACCACCCAATTTGAAGAAGTGTCAACTGAAAAAATCACTGGAATACTACAGATGTCTCGGAAACAAAAAGAGTTCGATAGGAAAGAGATTGAAAAGCTGAGAAACTTATTGAAAATCCTTAAAAAACCTATTGTGGTATGTTCTTTGAATAAGGTCTCTAGTTCAGGTAAAACTTCTGGTTCTCATGGATTAAATGTCTCGGTTAAACCTATTACGAGTTTTTAGATTATTGACTCAAGAGCTACAAACCATATGACACATTCCTCACAGAAGTTTAATATATATACCCTGTGTCCTAGTAATAAGAAAATTGTTGTTGCAGATGGTTCACTTACTACAGTGACAGGATTAGGAGATGTTCAAGTTAATCCCTCGTTTGTTCTAAAAAATGTTCTTCATGTTCCTGAATTGTCTACTAATCTTATATCTATACAAAAACTTACTAGAGATATGAATTGCAAAGTGACTTTTTATCCCTCTTATTGTGAATTTCAGGACCAGAGATCGGGGAAGATGATTGGACTTGCTAAGGAGAAGGATGGACTATACTATCTTGAGACATCAAGTAACACAAGATGGTTTGTTTCATTCATAGAGGATTGTACCAAGGTCTCTTGGGTTATTTTACTTAAATCTAAATCAGATGTGAATAGTATGTTTTTAAGTTTCCAAAACATGATCCAAAATCAATTTGGAGTGAAAATCAAGAGATTTAGGTCTGATAATGCAAGAGACTACTTCAACCAGACTCTATCCACCTATTTTCAAAAAGAGGGATTACCATGAGTCATCTTGTGTTAATACTCCACAACATAATGAAGTGACAGAGAGAAAAACAACAATTTACTAGCCACAACCCGAGCCTTTCTTTTTCAAGCAAATGTACCTAAATCTTACTAGAGGGAAGCTGTTCTCACTGCCACACACATTATAAATAGGTTACCTTCAAGGGTTTTGGGATTTAAAACTTCTATGAAACTACTCTCATAATTTTATCCCAATCTTAATACCACAAACAATCTCACACCTAGGATATTTGGTTGTACATCATTTGTTCATGTTCATAGTCATAACAGGAGAATGTTAGATCCAAGAGCAATTAAGTGTATTTTTTGTGGGGTATTCCGCAACTCAAAAAGGATATAACTGCTATCATCCTCCTACCAAAAAATTTGTGTCTACAGATTTCACTTTTGAAAAAAGTAAACCATTTTTTACTCAACCTTATCTTCAGGGGAAGACTTCATTCATGGAAGATAAAAATAAAGACTTCTTTTTGCTTGATTTGTCCCCTTCTTCAACATTTTAACCCATTAATTCTTCTGAGTCGAAATATGTTTCTACTGAGCCCAAGTCAAACACTGAATTTGAGTCTGAACCCATTCCAAATACAGAAGATATGACAAAGATAATATTGTTCTTGATTCTATGAAAGGAATTACAGGTGTACTAAAAAAAAAATTTCAGATCCTGAGCTAGTGCCAGTCCAAGTACCTGATCCTAACTCTGAAAATGAGGTAACTACAGTTTTTGACTCTATTCCTCAAAATGAGCATGAATATCCTAAAACTATAACTAGTGATTATGATCTACCTATTGCCATTAAAAAAAGAGCCAGAGAATGTACTAAGCATCCACTATACCCAATCTCTTATTTTGTCTCATTTAAAAAATTCTCATCATCCCACAAAAATTTTCTTGTGAGCCTAAACACTATTTCTGTTCCAACTACATTATTCGAGGCATTATCCAGTGAGAAATAGAGGCAAGCCATGAAAATAAAAATGGAGACCTTAGAAAAAAATCAGACATGTGAAAACTAGTAGAGATTGCCTAAAGAAAAAATTCGTGAGATCGTAAATGAATTTTCACGTGTAAAATACAAGGCGATAATACTTTGAAGGTATAAAACCAGGTTAATGGCTAAGAGCTACACTCAAACCTAGGAGTAGATTATCAGGAAACCTTTACTCCAGTTGCCAAGATGAATACAATTAAAATTTTGTTATCATTGGCTGCAAATTACAATTGGTAGCTTCAACAATTTGATGTAAAGAATACTTTTCTACATGGTGATTTGGAAGAAGAAATATATATGAAGGTTCCACCGGGATTTGGAGGTCATCTAGAAGCTAAACAAAGTATGCAAGTTAAAAAAGGCTTTATATGGCCTTAAACAGTCTCCTAGGGCTTGGTTCAGGAGATTTGCCAAAGTGATGCTAGCAATGGGATATAAACAGAGTCAAGGAGATCACACATTGTTTATCAAGCACTCTAATTCAGGAAGAGTCACGATTCTATTAGTGTATGTTGATGATATAATTGTAACTGGAGATGATGAAAAAGAGAGAATCTCTAAAATAATGTTTGGCTAGAGAATTTGAGATAAAAGAGCTAAGGTGATAGAAGTACTTCTTAGAAATTGAAATAGCTCACTCACGACATGGTATCTTCATCTCACAACAAAAATATGTGATAGATCTTCTGAAGGAAACTGGGAAGCTCGCATGTAAACCTGCAAATACCCCTATAGATCCTAATCATAAAATTGGAGAAGCTAATGAAGATGCTGTTGTTGATAGAGAGATGTACCAAAGATTAGTTGGAAGACTCATTTATCTCTCACATACTAGACCTGATATAGCATATGCTGTGAGTGTGGTAAGTCAATTTATGCATAGTCCTAAAGAAGTACACCTACAGGCTGTCTACCGTATATTGCACTATTTGAAGGCCAATCCTGGGAGAGGTATCTTATTCAAAAGAAATTCGGGGCTAGTTCTAGAAGCATATATAGATGCTGATTATGCAGGTTCAGTAACTGATAGATAGATTCACCTCAGGTTACTGTACTTTCTTAGGTGGTAATCTTGTGACTTGGAGGAGTAAAAAACAGAATGTGGTGGTAAGATCAAATGCTGAAGCAGAGTTCAGAGCAATGGCTCAAGGAATTTGTGAACTACTATGGTTAAAAATTATCTTAGAAGACTTGAAGATCAAATGGGATGGACCAATGAGAGTCTATTGTGATAAAAGTCTGCAATAAGCATTGCACACAATCCTGTGCAACATGACAGAACAAAGCACATGGAAGTAGACCGGCAATTCCTAAAGGAGAGACTAGTCAGTGGGTTGATTTGTACACCTTATGTATCAACCTAGGGTCAACTTGCAGATGTGTTGACTAAAAGTCTCAGCAGTACAACATTTCAAGAAATTATTTCAAGCTGGGAATGAAAAACACCTATTCACCAGCTTGAGGGGAGTGTGAAAAAACACTTATTTACAGCTAATTGTAATATTGTAATCTGTATATTTATATTTGTATCTCTAGAATTAAGTATTTGTATCCTTATAATTAAGGACAAAAAATTAGGATAGACAATCCCTCAATTATAGGATTAGTTTTTTAGGAAGATTTAGTTTCCTAATTTAACCCCTAGTTAGTTGTATATAAACCTAAGGTTCTTGTATAATTCGAAATGAGTAGTTTTTCAATATACATTCAATTTTTCTCTTAGTTTTCTACATAGTTTTATTTCTTAGTTTTTCCACACAAATATATGTATTTGGTTTAAGAAATTGAAGAAGAAACAAAATCCAAGTATATAATGATGTATATTGAACTACAACATCAAAACATTTAACTAAATGGCAATATATATGTTCTATTATATCCTTTATTCTTTATAGATTATCTAACTCCTACCTCAGCTTCATGAATCTGCTATGGTATAACTAATTTTTTACCCTAAGCAAAATCCAGTTGGATAACTTCTATTTTCATGCTACAACCATTTAGGATATTCATGTTATATGGCATGCCCATATAAACCATCAGCTGATGTAGCCAGTATCAAATCAACCAAATAAGAAAAAACAAGACAAAGAAAAAAGGGCTCACTTTTTCCCTCAGTTGTTGCTTTCTCTCTACTCTTTCTGCTGCATTAACCGCTTCTCTCTCAGCTGCAACAACATATTATATTAAGCCGCATTAGTTCCATCAAGATCAAATAAAAGAATTGTAATTTCAAAAACAATATACCTAGCATAGAGTAGTACACAAGATGCAAAATGCAAAACCAACATTACCGCATACTAGGATGGAAAACAAGATGCATAAAAGCATAACAAGCAAAATACAAAACCACAGAAATCACACCAAATTTCTTTCATAAACAATGGAAATACTACTTTAGTCCTAAGTCATAGCAGAAAATGAAACCGCAAGACATTCACATACCTTTCAAATCAGGTTTCCTTTCCACTTTAGTCCTGTTCAACCTATTAACTATCTCATTTATCCGCTTCTCCATTCTCACAGTCCGGACCTAAATCAAACAATAAAATCAAAGAAACAACCATTCTAGAAGAAAAAACATAATCGAAAATAGTAATAATATCCTAATAACAATAATCAAAGTAATAAAGAAGTCTACCATCTTGGAATTGTGAAAGCCAACTTGGCCAACATCCATGGAAGGAGTTTTCTTCAAATTGGACCATGGAGTGTAAACAACATCAATATTGTTCACTTTGTTGCCTAACCTCACATGATAATTAAAACAAAAAGAAAATTGCAACCTATTATATCAAACACATTTCAATTACATTTTACATAAAAGAAATTGATGAAATCAAAATAAACCTTGGATGGAATTAGCTTTAACAAGCTGAGCACAATCTTCGAGCAAACCTTCACTTATATCATCGATGGTTTGACCTTTTTGAAGTCTTAAATAAACATGGGCAGAAGACATTTTATCGACATGGAACCTGTAATAAATAAAACTAAATTCAATCACCCAAATTTCTGAAGACCCCCTTTATTTATAGCAAAAGTGATGAAATTTCAATAAATTTACCACGGTATCTGAAAAATAAAAACAAATTTAAGAAAAATACCAAATATCTTCGGGGAAGCCATATTTGATGAGTTCCTCGTTCTCGTACTTGTCCAGTCCCATGAAAATGGTGTAATCGCCAGCTTCTGGTCGGGCTTTGAAGTAAAACACCATTTTTTTCTTCAAATTTTCTTTCCTTTTTCCCCTTCAGTTAGGGAATTTGGAAGATGAGATAACCTTGACAAGATGCAGGCAGAACCTGCTTGCGTGTTTCCAAATAACAGCGTTTTAGTTAAGCTACCACCGCCTTCCAGCTCATCTTATAATAAATTTTCGGGAAATTTGTTTTTTTTTATGACTACAATTGTTATTAAACAAATTGAGTTATTATACAATTCTTCATATTTCTATTCCAATTACACTTGTACAAAAGTCGGATTACTGCATCCTAATTCAAGAGTCCAATTTGAAAGGAATTGAATATAAATTCTAAGTTTATTTGAATTTTAAATGGATCATGATTAAATAATAAAATAAAAATTATATTTTAAATCAGATCAGTTCTAAATAAATTTAAAATTTATCAATATTTTATTTAAATTTAACTTAAATTTAATCTGACTTGACTTATAAAATGTTTTAATTCTAATTTTATTATAACAAGTTTGATAGTAATTTGTTTTTTAAAGCTGAGTTTTTAAGTTTTGATCATATAATTTTTTAAAATAATTCAAATAAATTTATTTATTTTAATTTAATGAATTTATAAAATATTAATTTTTCTCTATAAATTTAACCTCAAACAATTAAAAACAAATTAAACCAACCTTAAATAGGTAGTTTAATATTACTTCGTTTTTTAGTATTCGTGTATTAAAATGAAATGTAAAAGAAAGAAAAGGAAATAGCATGTTCACGATATCTTATCAAAGCCGATAAGTATTGGGTAAGCATGAGTGGAAATACACGTCAATGAAGAGATAAGACAATCTTTTGTCTTTATTTTTTGTTTTTCCTTTTGTTTTTTTGTTCTTTTTTCCTAGGAAAATACTAGGAAACACATACAAGTCACAGTAGAAAATGTAAGAATCAAGGGAAATTGTATCCCTCATCTTTGCAGAGGTTCTCAAATCCCATGTATTCGTTGTGCTCAATCTTCTTAATCATGCTTGATATGGCAACCCCACCTACGAATCATAACCAAAAGTAAAAAAAAAATTGACTAATTTCCTTCAGTTTTAGCAGAAGATGGAGGAAGACGGCTACATCCAACAAGAGAGAAATGAGAATGATGTTTAGAATGCTCACCTAGTGAAATTGCACTGACAATTATTGTGAATGGTAGAACAAAGTTGATTATGGATTCCTTTCCGGTTAAATTGATCAGCTTATTCACAATGTGCTGAGGCGGCAATGATGGACACTGCGATGGAGTATGAAGCTGCCAGAACAGTTGCAAAAAACCTTTACCCAGCACTCAGAAATTGGGGAATGAATTTGAATGAAAACAGACCCTTTTTTCCGCCTCTTCGCAAGGGTGCTAGAACAAAGTTGAAACCGAATGGCAAGTCACTGAATTACTCACCATAAGGAACTGGAAAACGATTCAGAAGGTATTATTCTACAACAGACATCGATGGGGAGAAAGTCATCCCAAATGTGGCTGTGGCACTTGAGACCTGCAGAGTTTCCAAGCTTTTGGAAATCAGACAGGTGAGATTCTTTCTGAAATCCCTTTGGAAGTCATAAACAAACTAAGACAAGTAAACAACTGCTTCTGATTGTCTGAAATGAAATATCTTAGACCAGACCAATGTATTCTCGTGACTTAATGTTACCTGAGGACGAATTCCCAGCTCCAAAAAGGGTGGACCCATAACAAATCCTCCACATATTCCAAGATGTCCACTAATTATTCCTGCAACTATGCCACAAGCACAAGATAGAACAAGCTGGTAGACTTTCCCATTTGTGCCTTCATCTCCCTTGGAGGCAACCACTCTCCATCCTTTGTGCAGGCCAATTGCCTCAAACGGATATACCCCAACAGAAACTGGTATCTGCAACAAGTTCTTTCCATCGACTGTTTTCAAGAATTGTGGCCTGCATTGGTAAGTAGCAAATAATGGTTGAAGATCAAGATAGTTATCGCAGGTCTACAAACTGACCATTAGTTTACCTACCTCTCGTCTCTCAATTTCCTTTCCCGGCTTTTTGCTCGGTCCACCGGGAAGAGTTTTGTACACGATCGGAGTCACGATGTCCCGGGAAAAATAAACTATAGATAAGCAAGGTTTGATCCATGCATTCTGTTTTGGTGAAATGAATAGTGAATGAGCTCACTACTTGACTCCAACAAATTGGCAGCCTCCTGCATTTATGAAAGGATGAAATGAATTCAATATCCAAATGTGTTGCACATTGTAGCATTAGCATATCACACTCAGGTTACTGCTAAAATATGCATTTTAAGGTTATTAATTTAGGAGATTAAGATTTTACTAACAATTAGTGTACTGTTTCAATACAGTCTCCCTTTTCCATGTCTCAACACCCTTCAAGTAAGCCTTAACAGATGTATCTGCTAATCTGTCTAAGGTGTTCCATTTTTACTAAAGCAAAACATACTGCTCCATAGAATCCAATCACGGTTCCAACAACAATTTACCAGCCAAATTTCAGTTCCTGAAGGGTAATTTGACAAAAATGATACATTGATTGAAGTGGATGATGTGGAACATATGTACAATATTATTTTAATCCAAATTTCTCTGCCTCTGCTTGCACGTGTGCATGACTGCACAGCTCGATCGTCCTACATACAAAAGAGTAAAGACTCAATTACGTACAGAACTCGATTTGGTCTTCACCCATTAACAAAATTTCATCGCGAATGCCTCTGAATTTTGCACATTTGAACCCCTGAAACCGGGAATGAAATATGATCCATGAGATTTGTTTGGTGAAATGTCATCCATCCTGGTTATGGCTCGATATGGTAGGAAGTAGGAACTCCCTTTCTAGGAGGCAGGCTTGTGTCACGGGTCGAGACTTAAGCTTCGAACCCACGCGACTCCGGAATTCGGACATTTACTCATCCGATATCCCAGATCAGCCTTCTTGTCACGGTTCACACCCTTGTGAGGTATTATCCGTTTTGGCTCCCCTAACCTCACGGTTTTATCCTACAAAAGGTGTCTCATAAGAAAAAGATGGTGTGAACCCTTATATACCCCAGTGACCTTTCTATTATGTTCGATGTGGGATTCAGGACTCTTCCTTAGGTCCGTGACATTCTCCCCTACCCAACCTCGTGACGCTCCTTGTCATGGAGGCTGCCCACCCTGCCTAAGATTAGTTTCTTTTCTTTAACTTTAAGGAGTTCTTTTTAGAAATAGAAAGATTATCCTTGTCTCTGTTTATGTCTCGGGTTGGAACAAATTACGACAATTCGTCCCCTCTTACGGATTAGTCGACATTTTTCACAAATTTTACGAACGGAATGCCTTATTTTCATAGTTGTTATTCCTTAAATTTTTTCGAATCTACTTATTGGAAGAAAATAAGTTTCTTGAAAATTTTGAACCTTGAATTGGATCCCCTTGAAAGGAATCTTAAAGTTGAAAAAACTACCTAATCGTTCGAATCCTTGTTGCAGAGTCTATAAATATATGCCCCCTGGTTGAATCATAAGCACTTACTTCACTTTTGTTGACTCTATCCCACGTTGGTATACGTATAAAACTCGATCGGACCCTTCCTTAAACATAACCTAAAATTAGATCTTCATTATCTAAAGGAATCTGGAGTGGACGTGATTCACTAATTAAACCTCCATGAATCCATTTTTGTTCTTTTATTCCAGGTAAAACTTCTTTGACGTATCAACTACTTTAGAAAAATCTAACGGACGATAATCCCGAAACGCCTATGCTTTATTTTTCTGAAGGTGGGAGAAAAGATAAAACTCATTATTAATTTAATCCAAATTAAAGTTTGAAACTCATGTAATTAACCTCTTTTGGTTAACCCGAGACAAATCGATAGGATCTATGAGAAATCTCATTCAATTGGATATATGGTAGGGTAAAAAAATGATCCACAATTCCATGATCTTTGGCTTCTTTTCCTGACATAAAATTATCTCTTTCCATGTCTTTGTTTATAACCCATCGGGGCTAGCTCGTTCTTTGTACATAAGCCCCTATGATGTCTTCTTGCATTTTCATTACTTCGTCTGTTTCCATGACCCAGTCTTTGAAGCCATCATCCTTAAGCATACTAATAGGTTGATGGATCATTACCCTGATGATATAACATACTTCTAACTCACATAATGAGGCGAGAAGAATAGCTATAGAATTGAACAACCGTACAGGCATTTTTTACGCATTGCATACGGCTTTACAATTGCATACGGCTTTACAATGAAATTCTCTTTTTTCTTGTATTGAGAAGTAATTTGTATGGAACTCGTAACGCCTTTATTTGTGCCAAGGGTCCTGGATATGTAACTACTCAAGACATCATCTTACCGCCTTCTGTGGAAATCGTTGATAATACACAGCATATAGCTAGCCTAACCGAACCAATTGATTTGTGTATTGGATTACAAATCGAGAGAAATAGAGGATACGGTATAAAAACGCCAAAGAACTTTCACGATGGAAGTTATCCTATAGATGTTGTATTCATGCCTATTCGAAATGTGAATCATAGTATTCAGCCACGGTTTCACACTCTTGTGAGGTATTGTCCACTTGGCCCCTCTAATCTCACAGTTTTGTCCTACAAAGGCGTCTTCATAAAGAAGAGATGGTGTGAACCCTTATATACCCCAGTGACCTTTCTATTATATTCAATGTGAGATTCAAGACTCTTTCTTAGGTTCGTGACATTCTTCCCTATCCAACCTTGTGACGCCCTTGTCATGGAGGCTACCTATCCTGCTAAGATTAGTTTTTTTTCTTTAACTTTAAGGAGTTTTTTTTAGAATAGAAAGATTATCCTTTTCTCTGTTTATGTCTCAGGTTGGAAAACAAATTATGACAATTCGTCCCCTCTTACGGATTAGTCTGACATTTTTCACAAATTTTACGAATGGAAGCCCTTATTTCATAGTTGTTATTCCTTAAATTTTTTTCGAATCTACTTATTGGAAGAAAATAAGTTTCTTGAAATTTTTGAACCTTGAATTGGATCCCCCTGAAAGGAATCTTGAAGTTGAAAAAACTACCTAATCGTTCGAATCCTTGTTGCGGAGTCTATAAATTATACGCCCCCTGGTTGAATCATAAGCACTTACTTCACTTTTGTTGACTCTATCCCACGGTGGTATACGTATAAAACTCGATCGGACCCTTCTTGAAACATAACCTAGAATCAGATCTTCATTATCTAAAGGAATCTGGAGTGGACGTGATTCACTAATTAAACCTCCATGAATCCATTTTTGTTCTTTTATTCCAGGTAAAACTTCCTTGACGTATCAACTACTTCAGAAAAATCTAACGGACGATAATCCCGAAACACTTATGCTTTATTTTTCTGAAGGTGGGAGAAAAGATAAAACTTATTATTAATTTAATCCAAATTAAAGTTTGAAACTCATGTAATTAACCTCTTTTGGTTAACCCGAGACAAATCGATAGGATCTATGAGAAATCTCATTCAATTGGATATATGGTAGGGTAAAAAAATGATCCACAATTCCATGATCTTTGGCTTCTTTTGCTAACATAAAATTATCTCTTTCCATGTCTTTGTTTATAACCCATCGAGGTTGGCCCGTTCTTTGTACATAAGCCTCTATGATGTCTTCTTGCATTTTTATTACTTTGTCTGTTTCCATGACCTAGTCTTTGAAGCCATCATCCCTAAGCATACTAATAGGTTGATGGATCATTACCCTGATTATATAACATACTTCTAACTCACATAATGAGGCGAGAAGAATAGCTATAGAATTGAACAACCGTACAGGCATTTTTTTCGCATTGCATACGGCTTTACAATGGAATTCTCTTTTTTCTTGTATTGAGAAGAAATTTGTATGGAACTCGTAACGTTTTTATTTGTGCCAAGGGTCCCGAATATGTAACTGCTCAAGACATCATCTTACTGCCTTCTATGAAAATCGTTGATAATACACAGCATATAGCTAGCCTAACCGAACTAATTGATTTGTGTATTGGATTACAAATAGAGAGAAATAGAGGATACGGTTATAAAAACGCCAAAGAACTTTCACGACGGAAGTTATCCTATAGATGTTATATTCATGCCTGTTCGAAATGCGAATCATAGTATTCAGCCACGGTTCACACCCTTGTGAGGTATTGTCCGTTTTGACCCCCCTAACCTTCACAGTTTTATCCTACAAAGGTGCCTCATAAGGAAGAGATGGTGTGAACCCTTATATACCCTAGTGACCTTTCTATTATGTTCGATGTGAGATTCAGACTCTTCCTTAGGTCCGTGACATTCTCCCCTACCTAACCTCGTGACGCCCTCGTCATGGAGGCTGCCCACCCTGCCTATCTCCCTCGAGGCGCTTGGCGTGGGTCGAACGGTTTAAGGCTGGCTCTGATACCACTTGTCACGAGTCGAGACTTAAGCTCCAAACTCGCGCGACTCCGGGATCCGGGCATTTACACTTCCGACGTCTCGGATCAGCCTTCTTGCCACGATTCATACTCTTGTAAGGTATTGTCCGCTCTGATCCCCTTGGCCTCACGGTTTTATCCTACAAAAGGTGTCTCACAAGGTAGAGGTGGTGTGAACCCTTTTATACCCTAATTACCCTCCTATTATGTTCGATGTGAGATTCAAGACTCTTCCTTTAGGCCCCTAGTGACCCTTCTAAACCTCGTGACGCCCTCGTCACAGAAGCTAGCCATCTTGCCTACCTCCCTCGAGTACTTGCGTGGATCGAACGGTTTAGGGCTGTCTGATACCACTTGTCACAAGTTGAGACTTAAGCTCCGAACCCACGCAACTCCAGGACCCGAGCATCCACTCATCCGACATCTCAGATCAGCCTACCTACCACGGTTCAAACCCTTGTGAAGTATTTGTCCGCTCTGACCCCCTGACCTCACGATTTTGTCCTACAAAAGGCACCTCACAAGGCAGAGGTGGTGTGAACCCTTTTATACCCTAGTGACCCTCTTATTATGTTCGATGTGGGATTCAGGACTCTTCCTTAGGTCCGTGACATTCTCCAACCTTGTGACGCTCTCGTCACGAAGGCAGTTGGCCACCTTGCCTACCTCCTTCGAGGCGCTTGACATGGATCGAATAGTATAGGGTTGGCTCTGATACCACTTGTCACAAGTCGAGACTTAAGCCCTGAACCTGAACGACTCCGGGACCCAGGCATTCACTCATCCGGAGTCTCAGATCAACCTTTCTGTCACGGTTCATACCTTTATGAGGTATTGTCCGCTCTGATCCCTTAGCCTCACGATTTTATCTTACAAAATGTGCCTCATAAAGAAGAGATGATGTGAACTCTTATATACCCCAGTAACCTTTCTATTATGTTCGATGTGAGATTCAAAATTTTTTTTTTTAAGTTCATGCCATTTTTACTGACCATCGCGTGAAGTGACTCAGACCACCTCGGCGGGACCATAACAGGTTCATTATAGACAAGACATGATGATAGACTAGTCTTGAGGGTCATAAAATAGACAAATGAGTTTTGAAATCTAAAGATATTCTGCAAATCATGCAAAAGTTTAGATGATTGTTCCCAACTTTTTCACTTTATAGGCGTCAACCATATTTCAAACATTATTGAAATTTGTGAAATTATTAGCCTTACAATCCAGAGTCAAGGTTGTCTTTAATCTGTTGGGAGTGAATGAATATGCTAAGGTAATGTCTCCTACATGAGGATGCTCTGAAGTCAGGGAGGATGAAACTTCAAATAATACAAAATTACATATTCCATTCATCAGTCTTCTAGACAAACAAAAAATTCTGAAGTTCGTCACTATAAGTCTTTGTTGAATACATGGAAAGTGAAAAATGAGAGTTGTTTATAAAATTGAAACTAGTGACCATCTTTCTTCCAACAACCCAAGAAATGGAACAAAGAGAAGGCAGATTCAATGCTAGGCTATTTGGAGGGGAATTAGAGGGTCAAATAGCAAAAAGAAACTAAAATGTCAGCCTTCATACTTGCAGAGGTTCTCAAATCCCATGTATTCTTTATGCTCGATCTTCACGATCATGTTTGCTATGCCAACGCCACCTAGCAAAATTAAGCCAAAAAAAAATTGAGTTCCTAGAATTTTGCATATTTTCAATCATGAAAAAAGTGTCCTGTCAAACCAACAACAGGAATATCAAAGCTCACCTAGTGATATTGCACTAACAAATATTGTGAAGGCTAGAATGAAGATAATCAGAGATGCCCTTCCAAATACAATTATCAGCCTTCTGACTATATACTGGCCGATAAGGGCAGCAATAGCAGCCACAGCAGTGAAGTAGAGAGCTGCCAAATAAAGTATGAAAAATTTAACTCCATAAAGATGTGGAACAACCATGCCCAAATCTAGTGGCAAGATTAATGACACCACTACCCCTATCCCCGCCACATCCCTTGCAGGTTTGGGTGTTCCCTTTTATTTCCAAATGATGAGAAGAAATTTCAATAAAAATATCACGTTTTCGTGAGTTCCCAACTTACCATAAGGTACTGGAAAACGTTTCAGAAGGTAATATTCTACAACAGACATGGAAGAGGAGAAAGTCATGGCAAAGGTAGCAGTTGCACTTGAGACCTGCACAAAAGTAAGAAGCCAAAAAGATCAAAATTAACAAACAATGGATAAACTTCAAGGTCATAATGAGACAACAACAGATTTTCCCTTCATGTTACCATCGTTCCAATTTAATATATTAAGGATAAACTTCAAGGTTATAACTTCATCCCATACATCTGAAGGACACAAAGAAACTTACCTGAGGAGGGATACCCAGCTCCAAGAATAGAGGACCCATGATAAATCCTCCTCCTAGGCCGAGTAGACCACCAACAATTCCAGCTAGTCCTCCAAAAGCACAGTAGGTAACAAGCTGAAGTACCCGCCAATTTGTGCCTTGATCCCCCTTGGATGCAATTACTCTCCGTCCTTTATACAGACTAACTGCCTCATACAGAGAAACCCCAACAGAAACTGGGATCTGGAAAACAGGAAGAATGCCTTAAACAAGGTTTCAAAGAAATTGTCATGATGAGGATCATCTTTGATTCTTAACGTTCAAAATTCTATATCTTGATCATGCAATTTGACAAATGGAAAGAGGCAACAGATGTGAAAAAGATATAATGTACCTGCAACAAGTTCAACACCCAATAAGCTGCTGAACAAGTAGCTGTATGATTCTGTTACCAAAAGTTATATTTTATCAGTTACACCTCAATAATTCATATTCTGAATACACTTATATGATAAATAGAGCAGAAGAAACAAAACCTTGGCAATCTGCAGTACAAGGAATGCAACCCATACAAAACAAAGAAGCCCAAGTTCTTTCCAACAAATGTTCTCCCAAACAGGGACCTGCAATGATTGCATTAAATTAATTTCGAGAAAATTTGAACTGAATAACAGCGGATTACAGTCAACCTACTTCTTTGTCTGTGTTATCCTGGGGAGGGTCACCATTTGGGCCACTAGGAAGAGGCTTGTATTCCACATCTTCATCACCACTATCTGATATCGTATGAGAAATATATGGGCTTATTTCAGAAGGAAAATCATGAGAAGATCACCAATGATCTTAAGAACTTATTAAAGGAAAAAGGCAACTGACCGTTTGACGCCAAACATCTGGCAGCCTCCTTAAATCCAAGACAAGCAGATTTCAGATAGGTAACAATTAATTTTAATAATATAAACACACCACACACTGAATGAGAAAGTTTCCTATTCTTGTTAGTGGACTAAGCAGCAAATGCACAACATTCTGAATGAAATATCTAAGTCGTCAACAATTATGATATCTTGAAATCAAACATCTTTGAAATCTTTTGATTGCTCATTCATGAAAATAGAAAGAACTTATTTAAAATATTATGGGAGGAGTTCTTCTTTAAAATCACAATGGAATGGGGAAACAAACATACAGAGCTCAGCATTCTCAGCACGAGAGTATGAGGCTATGAGTTTAAAAATTACCTTTTTCACCAAGGTTTCTTTTTTCCATGTTTCAACACCCTTGAAGAATGCCTTTGTTGATGTTACTGCAACCCATCAGATCCATCAAAATTAACAAATAGTGCTACAAGACCATTATGGCTAGCAAATACAACAATAAATCAGAAAACATTTACCTATAAAGAGAATAATAAGTAAAACTGTGACCATCCAATCTGCAAAGATCACATTAAAAGCAACACCTATGCTAATTCCCAGCATGAGCATTGGCTGGATAAGCAGAGCCAAATCATAATCGATGATAGGCATATCCAGCGTAGGATGCCTTAGCTTCAGGTTGAAGTAAACAGCCGAAATTGCTCCACCCATGATCATACCTAGGAAAATGCCAAAAATATAGAATGAATGAACTCATCTAGTATATCAGAGTCATCTGTTTTGCTAACAATTTTGCTAATAATTTCTTAATAGCATTCAAAATTCTCAAAATGCTGCATTTAGAAGTTGCATAATTTTTGTAAGTACTTAAATACACATATTCATTTCTCGTCTTTAGTCCTAGCAAGTAAATTTCAAAATCTTAAATCACACATAGATTACAAGCAAATGGTAACTGCAATTGAATTACTAAAAGCAAGGGACTTAAACAATTCTGAAGGTTTTTAAGCCCACTTTTGTGCTTTCGGAACAAGATGAGTAAATTTCAATCTTTTTTCTTTAAGAGAAAATTATAGTTCTGATTCAACAGCAGAATCCTTCGATAAACTTATAATAAGTTCCGATTTTTCATGTAAATTCTAGGGGACTCGAGCATCAAAATTGTTTCCCCTGTGCTCAATGACAAATGAAACCAGATCAGAAAGAGTTAGGAAAAGAGAAAATAATGAGGAAGTCCTTTCTCTTGAAAAGAAGAAGTGGTAGAAAATAATTTACTAAAGGAATTTTTACCTAAAGGAAATGCAGTATATTTTTTATTTCATTATTATTTGCTTCATAAAAATGATTACCATCTTCATTGCATCTCCTAATTCTAAGATCACGTCAATTCATATGTATTCTTATTCATTTCTTCATGCAAAGATGAGAAAAGATTAACAACCCATCTTACATTTTGAAATAGCTGTGGATGACTTTGCATCAAACCCAATAATAAGGCTGAGCATTGGAACAAAAATGCCACCTCCACCTACTCCTCCTACACCACCAAATGCTGCTCCAAAGAACCCAATTATACTTCCCACCACAATTTGCCAATTAAATTCCATTTCCTATAAACAAAAAATAAAACCCTTAAAAATAATTCAAAATACAACAAATTAAGGTGATCAGTGGCCTCTGATCAAAGAAGTTAAAATAATAATCTAATGAAGAAAAAAATGCATTATAATAATGTAAGGTAAAAGGAAATAGATTGGAATATATACTTACAGGCCAAACATGGTTATAACCTGATTGATCAGACTGCCACAAGAAATTAATAGCTTTCAGAAAATAATTATTATTTGTTTCAGATTCCCTGGCGGATTCTCCATGCTTCAAGCTTCTCTCAGCAGAAACTAACATGAAAGCTAAAGCAAAGTTAAGGAAATCCAACAATATCGATCTCAAAACACGCCTTTTCACTCCAAATTGCTCCATCTTGATTTTAAAATTCGACCAATTTTGCTTTTTTTTTTTTTTTCTAATGAAAACTGAAAACTCTCTCTTTCTTTAACGTTTTAATTTTGAATTTCGACACTTATTCCGAATCAAAATCTCTCCTTTTCCTTTTACCGTTAGCATGCAAAGAATAACGTTAAGACGTCAGGATAAATGCAAGAAAACAATTTCAGATATAGGAATTCAAAAGTTGGTTAATGGATTGAGGATAAAGGAATTTTTGGATTTAGGATAGCGGAAATGGTTGGAAAAAACTAACATGCAAAATCAATTAAAAAAAAGGCCCCTTTGACTCTCTTACGTCTCTCGTCTCTGTTTTTTCAGTGGAAATGAGTGAGAGTAAATGTGTTTCTCGCCTCTGGACATGAGAGTCCGTTTATAAAGTGAAAGAAAAAAACAGAAAAAAAAAAAAGACTGAGAGGAAGAGAGAGGGTGAGTAATATCTAAAGATATAAACGTTATATTACTATTCATAAATTATTTTATTTGAATAAAATTTAAATTTAATTTAATTATTATTAAATCAAATTTAAATTTAAATTTTTATATTTGATTTAAATAATTCACGAGCTTAATTAAATTTTTATATTTTAATATATTTTTATTATTTTAATTAATAAAATATTTTAAATTAAAATATAAATAATTAAATTTTATTAAATATAAAAATCAAATTTATTTTTACATATTAATCAATATTCATCGAATAAATTTGAATTAATTTTTATCTTTAATCAAACTCAAACTAAAAAAATAAATTACGATCAAATTTAAATAAAATTTCAAACATTAAATTTTGAGTTAAATTTAAATATAAATATAATATTATATTAATTTAAACTCGATCAATAACATTTTTAACAATATTCATTCGGATTTAAAAAATAAAATATGATCTAATCCATCCTCCTTAAAATATTGATAGAAACCGATTGCTTATTTTTAATAATAAAATAATCTAATTGATATGCAGTTGATGTATCAGTTGAAAAATTAAAAGTTTTTATATTTTTATTCTCTGTAACATACAATTAAAAGAATTCCCAACAATTATTCTATGAACACCTGTCCTATTATATAAAAAGACTATTTCAACTCTTAGTCAATTGTGACTCTATATATTTATATTTTATATATTAAAAATATCTTATTAAGTATTAATAATTGACAGCTATCCAATTTTATGAGTGAGAGTAATAATTGATTGTATTGTTTTCGTTGGATTATTATGAGTTAGGCCAATAATGAATTGTATTAATTTTGTTGGGTTTGAAGAGAGGTAAATGAATTGAAAATTTGTTTGATCCACTTTAAAAAAAAAAACTTATCAAACTCTATGAACTTAAAAGCAAACTCTATCAAATGAGATTTTCCATATTTATTTTTTTTTTAAAGGGAAGTAAGAGGAAGGAAAATTAAAATGAAAAAGAAAATTGGTGTGATAAGAAAAAGTTCCAATCCAATGAGAGACGGGGATTGATAATTTATTTTATAAATTTTTTTATAAAAATAGATTAAAAATATATAATAAATTAATTATTTGAAAATTCAAAGATGACATGAGACTAAAATAATAATTTTCTAAATAAATTCTCGAGATAAAAATAGTTATTAGATCCATAAAAGTGTTTAAAGCCAAAAGATCTTAAGATAATGTTTGATTTTAGAAAACAAAGTTATTTTTTATTTTATTTTCTTAAAAAATAAAAAATATGAGTGAAAACGTATTTCGTAAATAAAAATAAAAATAAGTTTTTAAAAATAAAAATAAAAATAGGTTGAAATATGAAAACAAAAAAAAATGTTTTTAATTATGAAAACAAGGGATATAAAATTTTTTTTTCTTATGTTTTACAAGTTACCATATTTTAACACTTTTTAATGTCATTAATTAATAAATATATATTAGATTTATTGTTAGATGACATTAATAATAATATCATTGAATATTTTATTTATTTTCTTATTTTAGTATTTTAAAAATAATTTTTATTTTCACTTACTAAATACATTTTTAGAAAACAAAAAATAAAAATAAAAGCTATTTTCTAGAAAAAAAAAAAAAAAATAAGAACAAAAAACATTTTCTCAAACCAAACAAAAATTTCTCAATATATATGAAAATTAAGTAAATATATAAAATATTTATATACACAGTGGCATAAGAGTATTGACAAATTTAAATAGTTATATATCTAATCTATACTTAATATAAATATCAAATGTTGCAATATTTCTAAATTTTTTTCTTTAAATTTTTTTATGAGTCAGTTGATCAATGCAACATTGTAAATATTCCAACGTATACATATTTTAATTTTTATAAAAAAAAAACAACAAAATGATATGATAAATTAAGTTTGTAATTATGAAATATTTAGTTGTAATAAAAAAATGAATAAAAATATTTTAAGAAATAAAAATTAAATTAATATCTAATAAATTATTTAAAATATCTTTATTTATAAAATATATTTTGACTATTTAATTTATATATTAAAATAAATATAAATATAAAAATATCCCACAACGAAGTGCGGAATGCATTCTAGTTATTTTTAAATAATAAGGTTTTTTTTAATAACTTTAAACAATAATTTTATAATAGTTTTTATTTAATAAATTACTTTATAATTTTGAGATAATATTTCATTTAACTCATGAACTATTATATCTTTTTAATGTAGTATCTAAATAAAAAAATTTATAATCAAATATTTAAACTATATTTTCATATATTAAATTGCTTAAACTTTTAATACCATTAAAATAACATTAACATGACATTTAAATTCTAACATAGATAATACGTGGTTACTACGTAACCTAAACATGGTTATCAAGTGTCATTTAAAAAAATAAAAAAATTTTAAAATATAATTTTTTTAAAAAAATTTTATTTTTAAAAATGATATGCGGCAATTACATCACTATCATATGACAACTCACATGTCATCCACATTAGGGTTTAAATATCACATCAATATTATTCTAATAATGTTTAAGATTTGGAAAAACTTAATACATGAAATTATAGTTTAAGTACCTGATTAAAATTTTTTTTAATTTAAGTACCACAATAAAAAAAATTACAATAGTTTAAGCCATATACGGTATTATTCCTATAATTTTGTCACAAATATCATCTTTAAAAATATAAATAAAAAAAATATATATTTTAAATTTTATTAATTTGATCAATTTAATTGTTAATTTGAAAAATAAAAAATCAATCAAATTAATCAATTAAACATTCTTATTTAATCCATCATTGTTCGAATTAAACAAAATATATTTATGATTCATTTGGATAAGTAATGAAATTGGCTTTGATAAAATTAAAAATAATAATAAAGATAAAATTAGTTACTATAATTGTGTTATTGATTACTGTAAAAATGAGATTAAAATCAATGGTGGGATATGTGTTTCGATATAAAAGTAATGAGGCAATAAGATGAAGTATAATAAAAATAGAAAATTACTATTAAAGATATTAAATTAAAATTATATAAAATATATTTTATAATATATATGATATTTATCAATTTAACAAATAATTAAAAATTAATAAAATTATTTTTATCAAATCATAAATTTGTTAAAAATTAACAATATATTTATAAATATAAAACTTAACAAAATAATATTTTGTAAAAAAATATTAATATATTTATACATCTTAAGATAAAAACAACTAATATTTATTTACTTTATTATTTATATAGTTATCTATTTTATTTTTTTCATTAATAATTTATTTAATTATAAAATTAATTATTTTTTATGTCTTTATTATTTTAACTATTAATTAATTTATTAAATAATTATATAAATGATATGTTAAATAGTTATAATAATTTAATTTGAAAATTTTTTAAATTAAAAATAAAATAACTAAATAAACTAAATAAACAATAAAAAATAACAAACCAATCTATTAGTGTAAAGATATATTTATCCATCATTATAATTTCAAGGGGAAAAAAAATGTAAAAATGAAAGAGTTGGGGTAGCAGCCAAACGGGGAAACGAACAACTGTGGTGGGCTTCACTGGACGGGACCTCATTTGGAATGGTGGTGCAATTATTATAAAAAAATGTGCCAACAGCAGCTTTCATAGCCAAACATTGTTATGGTACGTTGAAATTTTCATCAGTTGTTCATTGGATTGAAGGTTTCAATCACTTCAAATGCAGTTTCTTCATTTTTTTTTTTTCCATTTTTCTTCTTAAGTTAACACTTTTTAACTTTTCTTTAAATATTTTTTATTCTTATTTTTTACTTTTTTCCTAGATTTTAAGCTTTTTATTTTAAAATTATAAAATAATTTTGTTACTTTAATATAAAAATAATTTTATTATTATATAATAAATTATTTAAATTTATTTGTTAATAAAATATTGTTTGATTTTAAAATAATTTAATAATAATAATTATTTTTAAAATATAAAATAATATAAATTTTTTAATATAATTTTTAGCTAATATATTTAATATCTTTAATGGTTATTTTCTTTCTTATTACAATCTATCTCATCATCTCTATTTTTGTATACAAATATATATCTTATCATAAATTTTAATTTCACTATTATAATAATTAATATCATATTTATCATTATTTTTAATCTCACTAAAATTAATTTTATCATCTATCCAAATGAACTTTCGTATAAAAAACAAGGGTCTAATGCCATAGAAAATTATTCTATTGCACTGCACTGATGTACTAAACATAATTTGAATCACCTTACTAAAGGTGCAATTGAATCTTATTAAGTATTTAATTTAAAATTAATTAATAATAAATGAAAGAGTTTAATTTAAATATAAAATTATAAAAAATTAAATATTTATTAGATATAAAATAATTTTTTTAATAAACTTTATCTTTGATCTCGTGTAATAAAGATGAAATAAATCTTTAATATGATCAATTTTAAAAAATAAAAAAAATTAATTATGATATTATATTAAATAT